TTCTCTTCTCCGGACCCAGCGCTCTCTCTGAGATCTACTACACCACTTAAGAACTTACAAGACAAGCCACAAACACACAGACGACTGACTCCATTTCACCATGGACCAACAGCACGCTGAAGAGCACGCACACGCTCACAACCACGGCTCCTGTCTCTTAAAATTCTACCTCCAAGCCTTCATCATCAGCATCAACATCGGCTCCATCTTCGGGATCTTATACTCTTTCTACAACTTTCTCTTTACTCCTTTCGACCCGCAACTCCTCGTCGCCTTAATCGTGGGGGGTTTCCTCGATGGCTTCGCGATCGCTTTTGCTTCTCTACTCGTTCTTATGGTCGTTTGGAGTCTCTGGGATGCAATTTTACTCGTTTTCTCTCGCATTCTTTTCTATGCGCGGATTTGGGGAGGAGTTGTTGGGGATGCTAACAGATAGGTTGAAAAGAGATGAGAGCGGTGGGGTGGCAGAGGGTGTGAGTTGGGGGTTTCTTACTTTCTTTCTTACTTTCTTACTTTCTTACTTTCTTACTTTATTTAATTCCTTGAACTCCTTATTAAGGCGGTTGTAGTTGTACTAGAATAACTTTAAAATAAGATAAAAATTATATATAAAATTGAGTGTACGTTATTGTGATATTTATTGTAAATAGAATTGAATAATGAGAATCTAAATGTGAATTTTAGAAGTTGATCAAGCGAGTAACTTATTTTGACTTGAGTCTTTAATCCTTAGATTTAGAATAATAATAATCATTTTAAAGATTTTAATCAAGATAACAGACATCCTAAAGACACGACCTTTGTCTTTATTAGTCTATTGATTATATTTTTATTTTATATACGGCTTGGCTCCGCGTCTATTGAACTCGGAATTTTAGTAAAATAACTCGGAGAGTTCTTAAAGAGTTATTTGTATTATATCATTATATTCTGAGTTGATAGATAGAAGTTGATATAGAGACTTCGCGTGAGAATACTTATTCGTTTTCTGGGATGTATAATAGTGAGAGTAAGATAAGAGTTATATAAAGACATTTTGATGTAATTTAGAACTAAGTTAAGTTGATGTTTATTGTCTATCTAGGTATCTATCTAAAGAATTAATTTCATAGTAATATAATCGTTGAGATCTAAATTTGATTAATTGATTTAAGATATATAAAGTACTATAATGTAATTTAATAATTCAATATATATAATACAATTCATATAATACATATAATATAATATATATAACATAACACAACAAATCACTCTCATGCCCTAAAATTCATATCTGTTTTTACTCTCCTATTATAGAATATATACCCCCTTTCGTTATAGAATCTATTCTAAATAGATAGAATCTAGTCTGAAGTATTATAGATTCTAAGGAGCATGAGAGTAATTTGTCGAATATAATATATAAAACATAATGCATACAATATATAGTATATAACAAGATACAAACCCTCAACAAAGTCACAAAACTTATAAAGAAAGAAAAAAAGCACCAAGTTAAGCGAGTCTCAGCAATTTTCTTTATCCCTCAATCAATCCCAAAACTTCGAAACAGAAACAACATCTGAAGAGATATTATAATCCACGTCCTAAATGTAAGCTAATAAGTGAATGTTCTCCTTCCTATGCGTCCCTCCTTTCTCCACCACTCCACTACTCCTGATAAAATCATCAATAGTCACACTAATTATTCATTTTATTAGAAAGAAGAGCGTTATGTATGAAGTGGAAAGGGAGGTGAGTAAGTAGTTTCTTGTCTATATGTGTGTGATTTGATCATTTGTGGCTTCTGGAGTATAGTAGTTTCGATGTTGATTGGTTTTATGATTTGTTATTGCTTTGTTTGGCTTTGTGGTTGTGGGTTGTAGAGTCGGTTATTGTGTATGAGGTTGGATGGGAGGTGCGACGCGAGGATTAGGAGATAATTGTGGAATTGGGTGGTGGTGAGTGGAGTGGGTTTGGGATGGGATGGTGAGGTTTGGATGTTTGAGGGAGGGGTGATGAGGTGATGGTATTAGGAGCGTAGCATTGTTTTGGGTGGGGTGGGGGAGGGGGAGGGGGAGGGGAAGGGGGAAGTTTGGCTTGGATTCTTGGTGGTGAAAATGATAGATAATATTGTAATACCACCCTAATGCTTTTTTTTTAATTAGAGACTTCAAAATAGTGACCGTGAATTGACGCCCAGATTTTTTGAAGAAAAAAAAAAAGCGAAGAACACACTCCGAATAAATTGAAGACAAGTCCGTAGAACTCACATGCAAGAAACCGTGCGACTATCCATAGATGTGATTCTTTGATTAGATTCCAATTTTCTAATGTGAAGCTCTCGGTGAGTTCAACAAGGCTCGAGACTAGGAATTTGAAGGATATTGATCGGTCGCTAAGATGTTGCTGACTTGCTGTTTCAATGAAGTAGCGAAGCAGGAATACTTGTGTTAACAGGAGAAAACAGAAAAGAATACTGTATATTTTCCAGACCAATAAATTAATTGGGTGAATGGAACAAATATGAGAAGGTATTGCCAAAGAAGAACAGAAATCTAGAGCCAAAGAATTAGCTGCGAAAACGGCTCTAAGTATTCTATCTCAAATCTTCCGATTCAAAATTGCATAGAGAAGTTGATGATGTCTATAGATCGTGGAAGGTTTCAGAATATATCGCTCAAGCTGAAAGAGTAGCCAAGTATATAACTCATTATGTTGTGTTGATGGAAACACAGATTTGCGATTACTAGTACAATTGTTAGTTCAGATATAACGTAGTTTATCAGTGCGTACACTATATCAGTACGTGCACCACTTTTATCTTAATTTACACTTTCAAACCCATATTATTCAACAATAATTAAATCAATTAATTAAAATTATTCAGAATTTAACAATTTAGAATTTATTTTATTATTTTAATAGATTCTTATATTGTAATCTGTCTTTCTATATTTATTATAATATTAAATAGAAAATGCTTTTTTATTAAATTTATTCTTTTTTTGATATTTATTATATTAAATCTGAATATCAATTTTTTATTAAGATAATATATTAAAAGTTTTTTATTTAGTGAATATTCCTTCTTAATATAATTAGGTTTTTTTTATATATTACTATTTGTTTAATATTTTATTTATTATTCGAAATATACAAATTCCTATATTTAAAAATGTGTTTTTATAAGCTAATTACTTTATACCTTTAGTTAAAGCTAATATAATCTTAAATATAGATATAAATAAACTTAATTAATGTTAATTAAGAAAGAGCTTTAATTAAGTTGTAAGAGGTTTAAGAGATTTATTAATTTAAATCGAAAGAAAGGAGGGTAGATATGTGAATTTGAATATCTAATTTCGAAAATATAGTTTTAGAATTAAATAGGATTAAATATATTCTTTAGAATTTTGATTTTATATTCTGAGAAATGATTGATTTTTTGTATATAATTTTAAAAGCTATAAAGAATTTAATCTTCAAAATATAATTAATATATACTTTAATAAATCCATTAATTTAATTATTATATGAACATTTTAGATTGTTAAAACAATTAATATCAATAGTTGAATTAAATGATTTGAATATAATAGTAAATATAAATATATAATATTATTCTCTTTATAATATATTTGAAAAGCTACTAATTTATAACTTTTATATCTATTCAATATTAACATTCGATATTTACTCTTTCTTTAATTCTTAATATACTTATTAAAGTGTTTCGATTACTCTAAACCTATCTTATTATTTATTTATTTATTCATTAAATATAGGTTTAATAGCTTAGTCCATAGGAAAATTGATTTTAGTATATTAATTAAAGAAATAAACCTATCCTTAAATTACTAAAAATAAGAAAATAATTTCATTCTCTTTATTTCTATATATTATTATTATAGCTCATTTTTAATTATCTAACTATACTGATTTACTTCTATTATATCTCTTAATATTAATAATAATTATTATTATATATATAATTCCTATTATAAAGTCTATTTCATTGAAATTATAAAAATCTTCATCTAAAATGTTATATTTTACTTATATATTTATAACTAATCGAAATTATTCTTTAAAAAGCTTAAAACCTTTATAAAAAGCTTTTTAAAAGTTATAAATATAATTAAAATATATCTTTAATTCTTTATATTATTTTATAAATCGCTATACTTAGAGCTTTCTAATAGCTTTTCCTTTTTTCAATTCGAAAATATAATTTATTATATCTTCTATCTTTTTAAATTTAAAAGAAAAATCTTTTGGATTTATATTAAGAATATATGAAATAATTATTTGCTCTTTTACTTTAATAAATTTTAGATTTTATAATCAAAATTTAATTATAAGAGTTTTTCTATTTATTTTTTGAATAAATATTATATATATAATATTATATAGCTTAACAGCCTTTTAAATCAAGAGTTTTTTATCTTTTTCGATAGCTTCAATAGTTAAGAGTATTCTCCCTTCTTTATTATTCGATTACATAATAAATAGTTGATAAATCGTATATTGAAATTGAAGAGTGTAAATTAAGGTAAAAGTAGTGCATGCACTAATATAGTGCATGTACTAATAAACTACGTTATGTCTATCAAGAAATCATGCTCTGATCAGCTAGTTACACAAGACAATTCGTGGTTACACACAGGGAACTAATAGACGTAGGTTATGGATGGGCGATACTCACAGCGAGGTAATGTGATCATTGTTTCTTTACTGTTTCCCCCTAACATACAATACAGGTATTGCCCAAATTACATACTTCAACAACTCGAAAGTATACTTCAAGTACTCTCGAACATATCCAGAACAAATCTATTGCCAGCTCTAAAATATTTATGAGAGGCATCTCATCCCCGTTCCATATTAATTTCTTCCTTCCTCAAGCCACTTCTGTCTGTAACAATCCTCGATTCCTCAAAGAACCAAGTGAATATTACAAACAGATCCACCAACCCAACAAACCCAAACTCCACAGACAAAGCTCCGAAAACATCATGCCGAGAATACTAACTCAAGCCATCGGCTTATTAGTCGCACTCATCTATGCATGCTTCATCTCCATAGTCCTCTTGCCAGTATTTCTTATCTTTCGCAAGATTCCGAATAATCCGGGTGAGCTTCTTAGACTTTTTCGAAATGGTGAGTTCTTGGAGCGTGCGAATGTAGAGCAAAGAAGACGGATCGCCCAGCGGCTTCCCGAAGAATTGCCTGGCGCAAGAGACATTCCGAGTGATGAACTACCACAAGCAAGACGAGCGCGGATCGTTTCGCGTCATGAGATCATGATGGGGAGAGAATCTCAAATTGCTCAGTATCGCGGTTTTCTTCTTGAGTTACACGAGTGGACTGCGAATCGTGCGGCTAACAATGGGCGAGTCGTTGCCCCTCCAGCAGTCGTCGATGATTCTAGTTCTGAAGCGGAGTTTGATATCGATGATCATAACATGAGCCTTCCCTGATTTCGCCTTTCTCTTCAGAGGGTGTTTGAAATTTGGTGGTGGTATTCCCCAGAGGAGGATAATTAAAATAAAAAAAGCTTTCCTTTTAAAAATTTTAGATAAATCTATATAATGATATTGGAGTGACAATAACAACACAATAACACAGAAATTAGAAATATGAGAAGAATATTAGCCAGTATCTTAGTCGTTTAAGCGTACTTGACTTCAAGACATGTCCCACTATCATCAGACGCACCCTGATCTTCATGGATCTGGCAACGAATTTGAAGAAAACCATGAATACAACGTCTTTTTTGTTCTTTCATAGTCTAGACAGCCTTTAAAATATGAAGACTGAATGGCAAGATCAGAAAGTTTGATCTATAGAAAATGTCTTAGGAAATGTCTTATGTCAAAATCGAACTTATGCGGAGTCCTGCTCTTACTTACACAAGGACCCTTTGACAGCTATCACGATGACAGTGTTTCACAATTTCATGACTCCATCCTATATTTGAACGAATTAATCTGAGACCGACGTGTGATGAATGTATTGAAGGTACCGCCTCAGTTAAGGTTTGATCGAGAGCCAAATTAGTCTATTGTGTATGTATATTTATTATACCACATGCACATGTCACATCATGTATGAATGGCCAAAACAAGCTTCTTTTGGCAAGGCGACGCCTTTTCGATGGAGCGATGATGGGGTAAAGCCATTTTGGTTCTCGATTCTCAAAAGTAATTTTAATTCTTATCTTTTCTACAAATACTGAAGATCTATCCTAGTATGTGGTTATACAGTAATGGCGCTTGCAGTTCCTCGACAAGTGTGAATAGTTCAAGGGGGAAAGTTCGGAGTTGTCAAGTTTTGGGTCACAATTCAATAAGGATAAGTAGGTGTAGGAAATAAGTGAAGGTAAATTTGTGTAAAGTCTCGATTGACTAATTGATTTATTCTCTGGCAAAAACAAATATAGACTTGTCATATTCGACTGAGAGTTCGCTTGAAGAATGCATGATGTCGTCTCAAGTTTCTCCAGTTATGCCTTAGCACAATCACACCCATGCCTCGTACTTTTCGGATTCATCATGCACAGGCATGTTTCTTGCCTTTCCAATCCTGGAATGACTCTCAACCTTATTCCAATTCCTCGGATGCATCTCGACGTCGCGATGTGACCGGCCAGCGGTACGCGAGCGTTTCTTTGCTGCTTTTCTAGAGTCATCCATGCCATATCTGTGATGTTTGTGAGGCCAGCAGAAAGCCCATGCGAGCATGGCAGCAAGAACAATCATGCAGAAGGCAACGATGGCAATGTGTTCAGAAAGCATCTTGAGATTGAGGTTGATTTCAGGAGTGTGGTTGGTGATGATAAGAAAGATAGAGAGTCATCGAGGCATATGTACTCGGACAATTGGGATTGTTCTTGATCTCTATCATAGTTGTATAACAATCCAGCAGCAGCGACTAGATCAATCAATAAAATACAAAGAACAATGGAAATGATTGGGAAATCTTCTTTGTTTCTGGAACATCGTTTTGTCGTGACTCGGCGGAACTACCACAGGTCGTCATCCAGCGAATAACAATAACCTTTCAATTACTGGCTGAATGATTGTTCAAGATTCTTTTGTCATAAGCAAGACTTCAAGAAATGTGAGTTCAGCATCAAAACATCATGCCATGCATTTACAACTCATAATTGGGTGGAGAAGTACTTGCTGTCATAGGGGTCCAGTAGGATTTCGAAAGCCAGGGTTAATAACGAATGAATAAGAGAGAATTATGCATGCTTCTAGAACGAAATGAGAGGATATTGTGAAGTGAAAATCTGACGGGATCTAGAGCTTAAAAAAAGGATTGACTCAAATTCGAATCAAGCCAATCTATCCGAACACAATAGGTGCAACACTTGCGACACCATTGGCATTGATGTTGTTCGTTTGTAGAACATTATGAAACACCAATTTTCAGAGTTGTGGTTGCAAATATGCCTTGTGTTAGAGCATCAGGGGTCTCAAGGCTATAGGGAAGCTTGGCGGGTCTTACAGTGCAGGGGATAACTCATAGCCACTAAAATCATCGTGAACAGAGCGGCGTAGTAAAATCATAACAGGCTGCCATGCCCATCTAACTTTTCATGTGGTTACCTTTTCTTCAATCCACTGCTGTGTCTGGATATTCGACAGGGAACTCGGGCGACAGTCGTGAAAGGATCTGAGGATCTGCGAATCGGGCACGACTTATACCAAGATATTGCGATATTCGACATGTCCAACCATCACCCATTGACTTCGATTTCTCGAGCACGACTCACGCAATCGTTACCACCATTACCCGAAGAAGATGCAGTACCTATCGGACCTTACCATGATGATCCAGCAGATGATGAAGATGCGGGGGTAACAGGAGGGATGGGAGGAAACCATATCGATATCAACGAACCTCCTGGGTATGAGCCAATGCACGATTATTTGGTCAGTAGAGTACGTCGATTAGCACAAATGAGGCCTCCCGAATATGAATTATCGTCGCCGGACCATACACACGACATACCACTTCAGCATCAAGAACCTTACCGAGATGACCCCTTCATCATCACGATAGATCCAAATCAACCTCCTCCACCATCTTACGAGGCTTTATATATACAAACACAGAGAGAATTAGAGATATTGAACGAGGAGATAGATCCGGATATAAGCCACGCGGAGGATATCTGCAAATGGCTGGTTAGCATGATTTTGATTACTTTAACAATTATTGCTGTTGGTTTTGCATTCAATTGGGGTCACCCATTTTAAGACGGCTCAATCGAATGCCGACAATCGTACAGTTCAGAAGTAAGGGAGGACAATAGTGGAATTATACCCGGCTTATGGAAACGGAAATGGGAGTTTGGGGTTTGGGGTTTGAAATCTACAGTTTGAACATGATTTGGAGATAGGATAACGGTTTGAAAGAAGCGGCCCCCGAAAGATTGTTTCTAATAGATTAGAATACAATTATTTACAAACTCAAACCTCCAACATCTCTTGTCAATTGACACCGAGCCACCTCCCACACATCGCGAGGACTTTCCAATTTGGGGATGGCACTTTCAACTACCCACCTACGAGTTCCTTACTATCTAGTATCTACCCCGCCGTTGTCCGAGGATGTACGGAGTATGATAACACATTTATCATCTGAAGCTTCTCATTCCTTATCATATCCACTGATGATGTCAAGGTAAACTCTGATTAATAAAAGTATATACGACATACACTAGGTTTGTGTACCAATTTCCGTTCAAATAGTCTACAAAGTTCGAAACCCCCTTGACTTACTCTCTTCCTTTTTCGTTTTTCAAATGGTTGTCTTTCGTTAGCATGGCACCTGCAACAGTAACAACAGCATCCGGTGCATCTTGGCAAGAGGTTGCCAAAGATAGACAAAGATATCGAGATGAGACTATCGCAGTTATCGAGCCAGCTATTCCGGATGTCACAAATGTTCCATTAAACACATTGTCAGTTGCAAGAAAAGTACTTACATCCGAGGAGATTAAAATTACAGAAGCTACAGTTGAATATCTAGTGGCTAAACTTGCAAAAGGAGAGTTGAGTTCAACCGAGGTTGCGAAAGCATTCTTGAGAAGAGCTGGGCTAGCCCAAAAAGTGGTATGTTCATCTTAGTAGACACTTTTACTATAGACTAATCAAACTCAGACCAATTGCATCACTGAATTACTTCCCGAGCGAGCACTTTCTCGTGCAAAATTCATTGACGAATACTTGAAAACGAATGGAAAGACTATTGGCCCTCTTCACGGTATACCGATAAGCGTAAAAGAGCATATCGGTATCAAAGACCTAGACCATAATGCGGGCTTCGTTGCTTGGGTTGGCAGAACAAGTCCAGTTGATTCCCATATCTTGGAAATTCTGTTGAATGCAGGTGCCATATTATATGCCAGGACCACACAACCTCAAACTTTAATGCATTTAGAGACGAGTAATAACATATATGGGTAAATCTGACAAGCAACTTACATTGACACTGCTAATTTGTTTCTTAGAGTGACTGTAAACCCATTCAATACTAGTTTGACTTGTGGTGGCTCTTCGGGTGGTGAAGGGGCGTTAGTTGGATTTAGGGGTTCGTGTCTTGGTATCGGTACTGATATTGGTGGCTCAATCCGTTCACCGGCAGCAAATAATGGTAACTAAGAGCGAGGCCGTTAAGTCGAAATATGCTCACCTTTACGTAGGTGTATATGGCATGAAGCCAACAGCTCGTCGTTTACCAGTAGATGGATGGACTGCAACTATGGCTGGGGCCGAGCACATCGTTCCCACGATCGGACCATTATCAACAAGCTTAGATGGCTGTAAAGTCTTCATGAAAGCACTCATTGATGCAAAACCATGGTTTAAGGAGCCATCTCTTTTGCCCTTCCCTTGGCGAGAGGAGAATTTCTTTCCAAGCAAAAAAATCAAAGTTGCAATTTTATGGGATGATGGGGTTGTTAGACCACATCCCCCAATCACAAGAGCTTTGAAACAAGTCGTGGACAAACTTAAGACGAATAAAAATATAGAGGTGGTTGAGTGGAAGCCATATAAGCATGACCTGGCTTGGGAGATAATTGTAAGAGTGGCGTCTTCCAACATGCAATCATCACTAATTTAATTTAGGCCAATTTGTATTTCTCCGATGGTGGTTCACAAGAACTCGATGCGATAAAGGAATCCGGGGAGCCCCTTCGCCCCCTCACTGAGCACATTATTACTCAGAACAAGCATCTACAATCTCATAGCATCGCATCGATGTGGAACTCTCAAGTTCAACGGGATATTTATCGTACCGAGTATGCAAGTGTTTGGAACGAAACAGCAACTTCGAAAGGTGCAAATGGTGAGCTGGAAGGTATGGTCGACGTCATACTGTCTCCAGTTGGGCCAGGAAGTGCACCAAAACTAGACACCAGTAAATGGTGGGGCTACACTTCGCAGTGGAATTTGTTAGATTATCCTGCTTTAGTCTTTCCAGTTGACAAGGTTGATGTGGAAAAGGACAGTACTAAAGAGACATACACTCCAAGAAACGACAAGGACAAATACAATTGGGATCTTTGGGAACAACATGGAGCTGAAGGTTATAAAGATGCACCTATCAGCTTACAGTTGATAGGAAGACGGTTAGTTGTGAGTTCAATTGTAGAGAATTCTGACTAATACATTTTGATTTATAGATTTGAAGATGAGAAGGTTATTCAGGCTTTGGAGATTATTCAAGAGCAAACTGGATTACCGTTTGTTGAATATGTTTGAATGATCTCAATCGAATAGAGATTATTCCATTAATCATTACCCTACATATTGCATCAGTTTTAGATATACAAAACCCATCTTTCAAACCTAGGCAGCATGCCAAGTGAACTCTATTGTAATGACATCCAAAATGAAGGGGCTCGCTTATTTCTGTTGTACTGCCTCCTCAATCCGGGGATACCACGGCAATGGCCAATTGCAATACCACTTGGAGTTGTTCATTTCTAAAGATGCGTTCCAGATGCGGCTCGTGATGCAATTGTATATTCTCTATCGTGTTGCCTCAAAACAGGCCGGCAGCCACTTTGAGGGTCGATGCGACAGGCAGCCGGAAAACTATTGCGGATCCAGACAATGAGAGTCATTGAAACCTAAAAATACGGATCCATCTTCACAACTTCAACACTCTCTGTCATGTCTTTGACTGGAGCCAATCCCTAAATTCGGACTAACTCATCTCATCACATATAATTTACGATATCATATACTAACTTTCAGTCATGCAACCCCGTTTTTCCTATAATACTCAATCATTTTCTCTACTCCTGCCGTTCTCCCTAGTCCTCAAACCTTACAAATTATGTATAATCCGCATTGGAATTTAGAAGCCTAACGTAGCCCTCTAGCAGCTTGGCACTTCCTTAATACCCTACTGGATTTCCTACCACACTCGGAAAATATCCCACCGAAGTATATAATCACCTTCAGTCCGGAATTACCCCGTAGTTCTGGTAATGATTAACTGAGGATTGTTGTTGCACTTGATACACAAAAATAATATAATGTTGGGAGGCTCAATGTTAAAAGGACTGAGCAAAGGCCTAAAGATGTTCTGTGCTGATTTTGTTTCTATTTTCAGATGTGGGTCTGGTGTTTGATGATGGGACCACCAACTAAAGTTTGGAAGCGCGTCGCAAATTCGCAATAGGCGGATTGATCATGCACTTGATGAAAAGAACATGGAGGAATGGGATGTGAAAGCCTAGAGGTCTATTTCATCTGCTTTTTTACTAGAAACTTCCTTTGTTCTTGATAAATTTATATTGAAATTCGAATCTGAAGTTAAACCGTGACAACAGGGACAACTGCCAAGAATTAACGACTAACATTACACTTTCCATCCACCTTCACCATCTATCAATCTTCATCCGACCAACATCATCACATCTATCCCATCACTCATAGATTACTGCGCCATATCTCACCCCGCACTAGGCACAACATCCATCTGAACCCTCCCACTATTCTGATTGGACAATGCCATTCTGCTCCCAGCGTCAAAGGTTTTTAGAGTTCCCATGCATGAACTATGGATGAAAAGAATACACTTCCCCACAAAAATTCATGCATATTCAACGGGATTTCCTTATCAACACCATCATATGCGCACGAAATATGGAGTGCATGGATGCCATGTGGTCTGTAGGAATAAGTCTATGGAGTAATCTGTTCCTCCATTTTAATATGTGATATCGAAGGAAGTCGAGGAAAGGAATCAGGGAAGATTGATGTAAGAAGGTCGATGAGCCTCCTTCTAGGTCTTTATGTACTGGACATCTCTCACAGTTTTCATTCACATTTTTCATTCTGGATACCGATAAGTGTACGGCCACTCTTTCGTTCTTTATTGTCTTTCTTTAATCCCTCTCATTCGTTTGATTTTCAGTCACTTTAGGTACTTGGCATTTGTGAATGACGTGCGTGTTTGTTGTTCTTTTTGCTGTTGGATCTTTATTGGATTGTGAGAGGCCTTTCGGATACACATTCTTTACTTATATCTCACACTCCACGACTCGGAGAAACTATCATTAACACTTATTCCGAATATCAAATTCGATTACTATACGTCATAAACATAACATCACACAAAATGTCTTCTTCAACCCCCTCCTACGATCTCACCTCCAACCCTCCTTTCACACCCAAAACCAGAACACCGATTCGTTCCTCCTCAGCTTCCTCTACAACATCCTCACCCTCACCCTCATCTCATACCTTCCAATCACCCCCCAAACCACTCATCCTCATGCGTTCCTTCTCCGCATCCTCCACCTCCTCCATCTCCTCAACACAATCCCGTACTTCCCAACCCTCGTCACCATTCCTCGAACCGCATTCGCGATATGAATCGAGACATCCGAGTGAACTCATCTATAGACGCATGCCGGATAGTCCTAAACCTCATTACTTCTATGAGAGACCCGGATTTTTCATTCCAAAGAGATCAGCGCCGAAAGCGCCGGGGGAGCCGAGGTCAAAGGTGGTTTTTGTTGGGGGGATGGACGGGGATGAGGAGGATCAAGAAGAATGAGTTGGAGATTTATGGGTTGTTATTGGGTGAAGATTTAATATGAGTATCACTTCGAGGAGTATTGGAAATGATGCGATGAGAAGCCGAGGAAATGATGACGGGACAGGCTGATTCGATTTGAGAAAATGGAATTCTGGAACAGCGATTCTCTTCCTACAGGGTTGATCGAGACATCCGAGTCCAGAGATTTCCAATAGAAATCTCACTCTTTTATTCATGTTTGGGTTGGGTCGAATTGGTGATGTATACGACATCGGGGATGGGATGAAATACGGGCATTGGGGCGCCGTCATTCGTTTATACCCGGTTTATCATTCTTTTACCATATATATCTATCATTCGTTGAATGTGAGGAAACATATTTCATTTTGTATCAGTACCTAACACTCGTTCTATTAGTGGTACATTTTAGGGATGTTTTTAAATAAATATATCGTTCATTTATATATTCATTCATTCATTCATTTCTTAGAGGTAGGAACTTGTTTGACATCCTATTGAAAGTGACCACGAAGCATGACATTGAGAGGGAGTCAAATAAGCAAACACATGATCGATGCGAAATTAGTATTTTGGTATCTAACATCATGTAAACTGTCCTGATCTCTTCTAACCTAGTGATATTTCCCTTCATTTTATCTCATTCCCATATCTAACACCTAATCCCCATTTCCCACCTTCCCCCTATCTCCCCGACTATACCCAACCACCCTCTCCCTCACCACCCTAAACTCCCCCCGCGAATTCCGAGTTTCCTCTTCCCACCCCACATTATTCGTCTTACAACTCGCCTTCGCGCGCGGTTCTCTCAACGGATCGATAAAATCTCGCTTCAACCTATACGCTTCGTCATTTCTACTCCTCTCCTTCTCCACCGTCACATCCGTCTGCACCAATATAAAAATTCCCTCTCTCCCTTTATCATCTTCCAATTCCCTCGTCGAACTTCCCCAATCCTGCATTTCTATATCCGCACTCCCCGCTTCCGTATTACTTTCTACAATACTTCTCCTGCGGGGTCGATCGGCCGATCCGAGATCTTCGCTCATACGCGTGTATAAGCCTGATATACGGGCTGTTTTGGAAGCGAGCCGAGAAGACGGGAGGATTATTTTTGCAGAAGTGGCGTTGTGGGAGTTGGGTTTGATGGTGGCGGAGAAACTGTATGAAGGGGGGGTGGAAAGACGATCTGGGAGGCGGGAATTTTTGTTGGAGAAGAAACGGCGGAAGAGGGGTTGGAGGAGAGCGAGATTGCCGCAGGTGATGCCGATGGCTTCTTCCATGTAGGTCCAGACTCCTCCTTCGACTTGGGAGACTGGGGGTGTGTTAGTGAGTTGTTTTGAATGGGGTTGTGTGGAATAGCTGTGCTATGTGAAGTGAATGAGTTATTTGATGGTTGTCCATCACGTTCTTGAGGGAATTTACAGTATACAGAATGGAGACTTACAAGTGAGGTCCTCGGTATCTATAGCAAAGAGGGCAACGAGACGGATAATGCTGGTTATTATAACACTAGAAGAAATTTCAACAATGTCAGCATATGATACTCACTTCTTTACATGACAGTAGATGATGACAAAACTTACAAAAAGCAAACTGCAAAAATTCCTATAAGCGCAATCTTCCTTCTTACATTCATCTGCAACTTCCAAATCATAGGTATTGGCATACAGAGAATCACACAATCCCCAAGAAAAGTCAAAAGACCATTCGTGAAAGATATCGTTCTTAATGCATTTGGAATACAATGGCCTTTTTGGTCTTTATTCCAGAAATAAGAAACTGGTGTGCATTCAAAAGTCGATGCTCCCAAAGCTGCAATCGTCCATAATAGTGTATAGATCCAGATAGCCCAAGCGAATTTTCTGAAATTTGTTGTAGGAAATAAACGGACGTAGAGAAGGATTAGGGAAGTCTTGAGGCAGAAAAGACAAAATGGTTGGAGTCTTTGAATCATCCATATTGACTTGACAAGTATTAGCTGCGGCTTAGATATTATGAAGAAGGGAGTACGAACAAAACTCAGACGTTTCCGATTGTCTACAGAAACATTCTTTTGATGATCTCCCAGTCCTACACTCAATCCTATTGATCATTAGCACATGATGATAGTACCAAGACACACATGTCTCTCAATTTCGAATGAGATAGAAGACTACATACCATATAATTCACAAATAGGAGTACCCAGACTAAATAGTAATGCAACACCCATAAACCAAACTTCGCATTGTATTCTAGCAACGGTATAAAGTTTTGCAAATACTCTCAACACAAAAGAGGCAATCGACAAGACAAGAAGGAAAACTGTTGAAACCAATACGAGTGACCTCTTGCCTTGCACTCCAAGGTCATCGAGATGCGGCGTACCCATTGTGCGAAACTTCGGTGTGTAGTCCAAGAGTAAAGAGCGCGTTTGACGCAATGCATTTAGTGGAGTGCGAAGCAAGGATGTGGGCTTGATTGATTTCCAAAACTTTCTCGTAGACAGAAACTAATGTAGTTTTGCCAGTGAGAGTAGAACCTTAGGGGAAGATCATGATTCGATGGTTCGTTCGACGTTGAAAGTCTTGGATACTATAAAGCATCTATGTATCAGGATATAGACCATGCTTTCTATGATCTACCTGTATAGTTCTATGGAATGGTCTACTGCATCATACAGGAGGTTATATGCATGGGAACAAACAGGATGCATGTCCTTCCTGATTCGATATAATGAAGATTAATCTAGCCGAGATTAGTAGCTGTTAAGAGTGCGAAACCACAGAGTTTGAGTATAAAGTAGCTGTATTGTTGCTCCTTTGATTCATTTACTCTTCATCTAGATCTCGGGAGCAAAATCATTGGTGCCTATCATAAGGATAGATTTAGCAGTTCACACAACACACTCTAGATTCGGTAGAGATTGGTCTTCGAATCCTGATGCCCCACGATCTTCCGAGCCATTGGTGGAAATGGGCAATTCATGGATATGGGAATAGGTAGCGGGATTCCCGAGAACATGTTTTTTCCTTGTATGAGATAGGGTGCCCTGGGATATTATACCAGGGTAAGAATGACAAGGCCAGGAGAAGAGAAAAGATCATCACTCTTTTGGCGTAGAATCACTTGTGACAGGTTTATCCGACTCTGTGTGTGGCTTGAAGTCAAGTTGTCGTAATTCCCTCGATATTTCTGTGATTGCAGGGAAGGTTTTCCCCTTAACTGCAAGCAGCATATTTTGCGATGCTCTTCAGCTCAATGTGTGCCTTTATGCGTAGCGGGCAATGAAATCAAAATATCGACATTTGTATCAACTTGATATGAAGTCTACCTGTGTATCAGAATTTTCGATGATATATTCCATACTAAATAATAGCGTCGCACTACCCCAATATGCGGGGATTGAGTTTGTTTTTTTGGTCAAAATAAGCTTCGTGGCTTTTCCATGTAATAAGCCTGAAGTTTAAAAAATTCATTGGGGCATCGAGCGCATTTAGGGTTTCAAGCTCCAAACTTCAAGAAAATTACAGGGTCTATAGGCTCGGCAACGGTAATCTCCCGGCGCGGCGTCAGCTTCTCCAGATAAATAAATCATTTTTATATATTTTTTTACCAGGTGGCTAATATGACAAGTCTGATTTGAAATCTCAATCTCTTTCTTATTGATATTTATCCCTTACCGCGATATTTTGTTCCCATGTAAATCCAGCATGAAGTTCACCGGCAATATGCACCTCCAATCTAATCCCATCTCCATCCCATCTCCATGATTCCAACTGAAACTCCACTCAAATGGAACGATACATCCACACTATATCGTACACCAGGGAAGTATCTGATTTTGGAAGACCTCATTGTCGATGATTGGAGAGTATAGGTCAGGTCCACTTCTCGATCTCCTTCAAAATCCTTTCAAAACCTCGACGATGATCCCAATTTCATTCAGTTAAGACAGGTCTTCTATACTTGCTCGATGTCCATTGACTTTATCAGCTGTTGCAGATATGGATACTCCTCAACAAGCCAAAAACAGCAACACTGTATTCTCTAATGCGGAGATAAACTCAAAGCAGGAAGATGATGGTAGTCAACTCAGTCCTGCCATGAAAAAGAATCAAGATGGAGTCGTGCTTATTCCTCATCCAAGTGATGATCCAAGAGATCCATTAGTGTGTACTTTCTGCCAATAACTTCAAAGTTTCGGTACCAAAAAGTCAAAAACATTGAATAGTGATAACAATCATAGAATTGGCCTATGCAAAAGAAATTGAAGATTCTCGCCGTCATTAGTTTTGCGACGTTTGCGGGATTTTCAGCATGTCTTGCTGGTCAGCTTCAAGTTGAGCCACAGGCCAAACTATACCATAAAACTACGACGCAGATCGCTTATCAAGTAAGATATCACAACGTTTCTCTTGAGAAAGGCACAAACTAAATGATTCTCTAGAATTCCGCTGGTTCGGCTGGTATGGCAGCAGGAGGATTCTTTTTCTTCCCATTATCACATGTCATCGGACGTAGTTCTGCTATCTTTTGGTCATTGATTGGTGCCATATTAAGTAATGTATGGGCAGCGCTTATGACACACGAGAATCAATACAATGCATTCATCGTCTCTCGATTCTTCGGTGCATTCTTCGGTGCCATTACTGGAGTATTAGGTCCACGAATTTTGGTTGATTTATTTTTCCTACACCAAAGAGGAAGAGCTTTCACTGTTTTTCATTGGTGTTTTGATTTTGGAACAGTAGCGGGACCAACTTTGTCGGCTCTCATTTCTGCAAAGTCGGTATGGATGAATGCGTATCGATGGACAGCAGGATTGGTTGGTTTGGCTGTCATTTTGGTATTCTTATTTCTCCATGAAACCTCTTGGGATAGAACACCTGGAGCCGTTAACCCCGATCCACCTTCTTCTTTGATTGCAAACAGAATTGCAACATTTCTTCCTGGTACCAAAGTCACACCAAAGACATCTTTCTCGCAGACTGTAAGTCATAACACATACATTGGTATCTATCAACCCATCAACAATACTAACTCCGAATAGCTCAAAATCGCAAAAACCCCATTTCTTATTGCCATCTCCCCAGTTTGTCTAGTCCTCAGTATCTTCACATTAACCAACTTTGGCTTCTACGTCGCCATGAATTCGCTTTCTCCCACATTCCTGCAAAAGCCAGTTGCAGCCGGCGGATATGGTTTTACAACCTGGCAAAATGCTGAATGTAAGCAGTCTTTCCCTCCCCATCCCCATCTAGGATTAATTAACACATACATCAGTCTCCTTCACCCATTGGATCGGTATTTTCTTCGCCCTCTTCTACGGCCAATACCTCTCCGATCGACTTCCTCTCTACATCGCCAAAAAATACAACAACGGTATCTGGGTCCCCGAATACCGTCTCCACGCTCTCTGGTTTCCGGGCCTCCTCAACCCTATCGGACTCGGTCTCTTCGGCGCAGGTCTTCTCTATCATCTCCATTGGGTTGTTCTCGCTCTCGCTACCGTCCTCGTTACTTTTGGCTCCTTGTGTATTACACCTATCACCGTGAACTATATCAATGAATGTTTCATCGGTAATCCGGCAGAAGCGTCTATTGCTGTTAATTTTTACAGGGTGGGATTCGGCCTCAGTGTGGCGTTTTATATTAAACCTTGGGTGGCGGATGTGAATGTAGGGTGGACGTATGGGACGATGGCCTTTTTGGAGGTGGCCGGTCTGTTGTGTATCGTGTTGTTGGTGTGGAAGGGACATAGAATTAGAGAGATGAGTTTCGGTGGGTTGGGGAGGAGCGAGGAGGGAGAACATGTTGTTGAGGAGAAGAGGATCGGGGTTTAGGGGTTATGTTTGTTTGATGGGAGGATGGATGCGGAATGTGTATAGATTATGACCCGTAAAATCTCTATATGAAAGATTCATCGAAGTTTGATCGCGTGATTCTTCGTTGGATAATACATACATGTATCCAAGCCTACCAGTCTCTACATAGCAAATAATTAGAGTAGAATTCCACACCCGTGAAGTATCAAAAGCTCCTCACAAACAGTACAAAAGTCTCACTCCAGATCAAATCTCCCCAGAACCCACAACCCCCATCTCAACACCACACCCATCCAATAAACCTCCAATCTTCCCATTTTCCCACGTCTACATATCCCCGACACAAAGAATCACGAAATTTCTTTTCCAAGGTATGAACAAGTCACAAAATACACAGCACATAAAAATACCAAAACCCCTGCACCCATTCCCCATCACCCCCTCTCCATATTCCCCACTACAAGATATCCTCCTCTTACAAAACATGAAACAAGCTATCCATCCCCATCCATCCCTATCATTAACCCCATCCCCAACTCCATACTCTACACAACAAAACCCAAGAATATCCCTCGAGAGCCAAATCCCAAGAGGATGACATGAACAAATCGACTAGATTATCACAATTCAACTCCCCAATTGGTATTGTGTTCCCCAGAAAATGATGGTGATATTATTAATACTTAGGTGGCCTCGTCATGGAGATCTACTTAGAACTATGATGGCCTCGTCGATATATATCAATGATAAGAATGCTAAAGAGGAAAAACGATTTCCCTCGTATAGAGGGAAGAGGAAAGAGGGAGTGATTTATGAGATGTGGTTTAGCAGAGTAGATAGGTGGATGGAATTACTAAATACTGGGTAAGAAAGAAACAAGGGAAAGAGATATTTGCTACAGTAGATCGCTTGGCGCTTGCCTTGAGTAAATCAGACACTGTAAGCGCCGATGAGATGGTATTTCTCACATGAGGAATGTAAAGGAAGGGAGCAGCGTAGGTGGAAAAAAGCAGTGTGTGTGTAGATTATCGCATTGATTCATTATCCTATCCTATCGTTTCCTTTCATTTCCTATTTCATTCATTTCGTCCTTGTATCAAAGATGCACAATGACATATCTTACTTATTGATCCGATCGAATCCAATCCAAGCCACTCCAGCCGTTTTCTCATTCCTTCCATCCCATTCCCCATCCCATCTATCCACCGTTCATTCCCCAAAAGTAAAACATTAAAATCGGCCGTAACTCCCTCCCACCCATCCATCCCAATCCCATCAAAACACACTCCTCCTTCCCACGCACCCCTAAACATACGTCCTCCTGTGACTCCCACTCCTTCTACTCCTATGACTTCCACTTCTCCTATGTCCATGTCTCGTCACATGCGTCTCCCTCACATAAACCTTCTCATCTCTCCTCCCCCCCCTCTCCTGCCCCTTCCCCACCATACAAGCCAACAAACTCGTTATGAAAAAGAAAATACAATTCATGATTCCAAACGCAAAACAGGCTTTGAGCATCGCACACGTTTTATCCACTTTGACACTCACTCCATTAATATTCGCATTTCCAAAGGCTCCGAAATTGATGTAGTATCCGGGGGTGTTTGTGAGATGCGAACAGTCGGAATTGGTGATGAAGCGGAGCTCGTAGACGCCGGCGATGAAAGCGCCTACGAAACAGAGATCGATGAAAGAAACGAAGAGGGCGTTGGAGCGGGTGCGGTGGTAGGTGAAGAGGGTTGCGATGGCCCAGGCGCAGGCGAGCACGGAGACGATGAAGAGCACGAGGATGTAGTTGGGGGTGAGAGCGTTGTTGGATGCGTAGATGTTGACGAAGAAGGCGAGCATGCCTAGGGTTGGGATCTAACGAACAAGAAAGAAAGTATTAGTTGAATGTAAGTGAGGAATTGGGATATCATAACGAGGAATCGCATACCAGAGTAATGATCTCGCAGAATCGCCAAAAGGCGAAGAACATGCCGAAAAGCATTGTGAGTTTTTTTTGTCTCTTCAGATTTTGGTTGGAGTGTGAGAGAAGTATATTATTGATGCTACAGACAGCGAGCAGCAAATCTTTGCGATTATTTTATGTGTATGTGTGTGATTATTAACGATTGTGGAAAATAACTTGGAGCTAAAGTCGGCTTATCTTATGCGACAACAACGACGATGATGATGATGAAAGCCGAGTCCAAACGTACGAATCAAATTCACTTCCACACAATGAATGATGTGTGTGCTTGCTTGCTCCAATCGCAAGACACGAGAAAGAAAATCTCGCTGAATTAAAGCAGTGAATACTAGATAGGTAGATACTTGATAAATAAAAAGAAAGAAGAAGATGAGAAACCCTTCGTCGACAAGATGCGAAGCTAGCTCTTCTTATCAAGTTCTAATTCTGTTCAGTTCGAGATACCCACAGACATAGATTGAATGAATAGAGGTTGGGATGGATGGATTTGCCCTGCTTTTGGGTATGTATGATATGATGCAGCCTTGTTTATTTACCCATCTAGATACCTAGCTAGTCGTTTGGGAAAGGAATAAGGATATGTTGGTGGATATGGGATCTTGGATGTGAAATGGGACAGGATGTGGATGGTGGGATTTGCGTGCTTGGTTACTTGCTGCTTGCCTCAAACTTTACTTGTCTAATTCCTTCAAAGTGAAGCGTTACAAGGATGAAAACAAGAATGTGGAGAGCAGGATGGATATGCGATGCGCTGGGTAAATGCTGACGACAAAAGTGACCAGGCTCGCTTTGGGGAAAGTTAAGTTTCTTTGCTTTTCGTTGCTGGTGGAGTGGAGGGATAGATGGGGCGGGTGTAACGGTAAGGGTAACGGTGTGTGAAATACCTCGCTACGGAGTATATGTGAGGTTTTATATGACGTCGGTGAAGAACTGGTTGATTAGATTCTTATCGATAGTTGAATCTTGCTTGTTTGCTGGTTGGAATTGCGTAGTGGTTATGATTATCTCGTCTCGTCTGGTCTCGTCTGGCCTCGTCTCCTTTTCTACGATATACACGTTGATATATTTATTACACAGTATCTACAGACCTTCCGATCAAAACATCAAATAAAGAGATGGCTGGAATATAATAGGAATATAATCCTAGATACTAGGTTAGACAGTATTTTATGTAATGAGATTACCTACGGAGTATACCTAGATTTACGAGCTGCATCCCGTTTTATATCACATATTTACGACCAAGTAACTGACAGTACCCCCCCCCCCCCCCAAACTCAATTTCGTTGCGATCCAAAAAATGGCGGGGTTGGGTTTAGTGTATCAAAATTAAAGAAGTGGCAGGTTATTGGCGCCCAAAGATCCTGGACGATTAGGTCAATGCAGGGTGACAACATCTGTTTTTAGTATCCGATGAACTCGAAACAAAATCCAGAATCCAGATGTCAAACGAAAAGAGAAGAGAAGAATAAAAAGAAAGAAGAAAAGGCACCGAGATTATCATCTTGGAAGGAGATCTGGGTAGTTGGTATAAAATCTGGTATTACATTTTAATCTAGGATCAATTGGTTGGAGAGTCTAAAGTTTCATTATATTTTTTGGCCAGCTCAACAAGATGATTCGATTATTCTCGACTTTTCCAGGTACCGATGTACCGACAGGTACAGTGGTGGAGAATATCATATGTACCTATTCGTTGTACCTGTTCGCCGAGTTGATGAAACTTATTACTTCATCGGCGGTGAATCGTCAAGAGCTTCCATAACTTGTTGTTGACTCCATTCTTCGCCGAGTTTCTTCTCCTGATGTTTCAATTACCCGAAAAGTACATTTCGAGGGTTTAGTACATGCTGCAGGTCAGGCCCGTACCGCTAGATCATTTTTTAGGTCCAGTATTTCGCACGAGTCATGTTTGAATTGAGAAAAAAGGGTATCAACATTTTAGTCCAGTCTTTGGCCAATTTCTGTTCGCTTTTGGCCGTTTCAAAATTGCATCTAGAAAGCAATTGCTCAACTCCGTGAAGCGTCTTCACCAACAGTATAACCTCTTGCTACACCACTTCTCCCTTCTTCAACAACCGCAGCGACTTCTCTTTCTTTGCCTTCATCAATAGCCTCTTTATCGTAGTCACTACCCAAACCTGTCCAGGTTCTCTTCTCTCTCAGATATTCTGCACCAGGACTAATCTCTCCATTAACGGTCGCCATTTCCATCTTTGCTCTCTTGACCAGTTTATTTGATGCGTTGCGCTGTAACCCGTTCTCCAACGTTTTCTTGGGCTCTGAAGAAGTTGTCTGAGAAGAGCACATAGGTCGAGAATGTGAGACGTATCGGCCAGTTCGAAGATCGAATTCAGGAGGCATCGATTCTTCCTCAGAGTCGTCTGCATCCTCGGTTGGAATTGCTGTTTCGGAATACTGATTATTTGATTCAGTAGGTTCCACCGCCAAAGTAGGGACAGTATCAGATTGCAGATTCAAAGCATTGAAGTCTGCAACCCAATCACCACCCCAAACCCGCTCATCATCACTCTGTAAGGCCAATGCCAATTCGAAGGGTGTGATGACTGGTTTGAATAACGCTTCCCCTTCTACCAAACTACTCTCCCAACATCCTACCACTACCCATCCATCTATTTCACTGAAATTTGCCAACTTCGCAGCATTGACCTTACCCACCACAAACGTGTAGGATTTCTTTCCCTTTGATCGTATGAGTGATGCCAGGGAATTGACAGTAGGTAAATAATTCGTTACACTTAGGGTGTTTATCAGAATACCAAATACTGAAGAGGAAGACTGTGATGTCAGTAAGGCATATCTCCGCATGAGTGCTCTTGCTGTATTCGTTTTCGTCGTTTCGTTTCCGGTCGTAGAATCTGTAGAATAGATATGCATCTCCTTAACTCTACTCGACAACGTAAGTAGTAACGCAGATGGTGGCTCGCTAATGTGGAATAAACTATAATCCTTCATATCTACCCCTTCATCTAACTTTCGGTTTGGTATTGTGGCACTGGGATTGTGTGTGATTTCCGGCGCGAGTATATTTTCAAAGCCTCTGTCTCGTAATTGCGCGACTAAAGGTGAAATATGCGAGTGGTATGTGATGTCAGCCATAATGACAATTTTGTCAGACTTCTCCTTGTATGTGTTTTCGAAAGCTTGAATGACCGATTCAAGGTTCAGTGGGCGAGATGTGAAGACGTAGATTACTGGTAGTCGTGCAGTAGGAGATAGACAGGCGCGGCCATAATGAACGACGACTTGCGCATCGACGTGCTCGGCGGCGATTTCATCAACACAACAAGATCCATAAGATGTATCTGCCAGTATGTATAGTTTATGTCGAATATTCGATGTCGTGATATTCGCGGGTGGATTGCTGAAGTCTGTTTCTAGGCTCGAGCCTTCATCCTTTGCGATTTCACTCAAACTTGGTTCTGTAGGTGATTTTCGAAGTCTACTCTCCAATTCCTGAAAAATTCTAGGTGCATCTGACAACATCCCATCCGAAAACTGTAGAGCTATTTTCTTCCATCCTCCTTCTCGAATCTCATTCACCGTCCGCGAAATCTCGTAAACATCGTATAACTCTTCGTCTGAAAGTTTAGGGAGGTCATCTTTCTTGATTGAAGGTGTAGGATCTTCGAATATATGTACTTCTGGGGTCGATAGAACTGGGGCGGTGGTTAGTTGTTCCATCATTATATCCGTATGTCAAAGAAAATTCATATGGCGGGGTTGAAATTATATTGCCGTTTTCTCCGCGGGGAAGGCAGGGCGGTGAACATGGCAATATATCTTACCAAAGAATCCACTCGCTCTCATTCTCATTCCATCTATTCTACACTCTCAATGTCGACAAATCTCAACTCTTTTCTCCTGTTTTCCCTTTTCTATCTTCTTTCTCTTGGTGGACCCAGACGTCGGATTTGTTTACAATGTCAAGTGTCATTGATCTAAAACTCAAAGTCAATAAATGCGATCTAGGGAAGCTCTATTGACAGCGAAGATAGTCTTGCAAGTGCTGGCAATAAAATGTCTATACCCGACCATAAACATTCTTGAAACATCAATACTGATAAAGATGTAGAAGTGAGCTTCGAGTCTTTTGTGGAATTTTGATACTGCTTTTGGTCTCCTGCTGTGGCGATCAAGTATATCAGATGTACCACGCATCCTTAAATGGAATTGTCTGCGAGCCAGTGCTAGCATCATCCAATTGGTTCACTGTGTGGCAAGGCTGTCGATGAATGTCATCTGGATGATATGCAATGAAGGCGCATTTGAGCCTTATTGGTGTTGATGCGGGGGAATTTAGGTAATCCCATGCCCGGTGGCAGTAAAAAGCCTTTCTCATGCAAGGTAATTCTGCTCAGCCTGCGTTCACGCGCAAATAGTCGGGATACATGAAAAATGATTCAGATATTTATTCTTCATCTTATCCCCATCCCCTGTGAGTTGATTGATCACTCTTTTCCATTTATTCGATCATAATTCCTTAATTTAAATCTTTGCGCTCATGAATTATTCAAAATCATTCTCAACCGGGGATCTCAAAGCATCATCAATATCTGCCTATGCCATTGATGAATCTAAGACTCCTGAAACTCATTGCTTCGCACCAGAACCCCCAAATCATCACCCACACCGTGGTGGGAAAGTTATTACCGATGCAGATTGGCCAGCTCTAAAGCCAATCATTCATCGTCTGTACATCATTGATAATTTGACATTCCTCAAAGTTAAGGAGGCGCTCAACTTGGAGTTCGGATTCAATATCACGTAAGTTTGATTGGAATTTGACTTGGTTCCCGTTCATTAAATTTCAGAACTACGATCTGATGAAAATAGGAAACGACAGTTTACTCGAAAAGTCGAAACCTGGGGCTTCAAAAAGAATTTTAGGAAAAATGAAAGAGATGAGATTGTGAAGAGCGGGAAAATTCCTCAAAGATTTTTACACGACTCACGAATTAACCAAAAAAGGGTGGAGCGCTTGCAGAAAAGAAATACCGTACGCATGGGTGTTGGAGTCGAAAGCGAAGATATTGAAAGATCTCTCGTACAGAACCTGGAATTTTCTCAAAAACCCAAGGCAATCAAGGAAACTTCATTGGATCTTACGCCCTGCAATAGCATGATGGGGAATCAGAACGCGGCACTTAAAGACCGCGATATGATTATTGAAGAGATACCTAGATCAGACTTTCGGCACGACATAGTCACACTCGACACCGGGGATCAATGGCCTTTCAATAAGTTTGCTGGAGATAATTCCGGACTTCCATGGTTGGCTGAGTTTTTTGTGCAACTGGAGATTGCAGAAGTCATTGCACTCACAAGTTTTGAGCCTGAGAAGCAGGGAGATGTCGAAGAAGCACGATTTATATCTGGAACAGCACTGAAGGAGCTTATCAACCCATCTGACAGCGATTCAGTATGCGGCGGGTCTTTCCAGGCTCAAAGGCAGAACCATTCCCCATATTACATTTTCGCTAGAAGTGCCTCGCTACAAGCCCATAACCCAGGGATACATCGATGTCACTGCAGTCCTCTGTTCGAGATTGACATCTTCCCCCCATATAAAAACTCCAACAATCGCGCACAGGATAAATGGATCCATTCGTTTGCACCATTCAAAAGGATTGCATTAGATTTAGAGGCAAAATTGTCGAAATTAGAAAGAGTCCTGCCAGCGAGTTCTACAGCAATCATTTCGACCCTAGAATGCTTGGCATTTGTGTACCACCGAAGCCGCGAGAGCAAACAAGTCGTGATGACATGTAGAAAGCTCTTGCATGCAAGACAAAAGGAAAAATCCCCCAATACGCATAAAATGGTAGAATCATGTCTTTGGATTGTAGATTCCTGCCTTGCATTGGGGGAACTGAAGATTGGGCTGAATATACATGCCATTTTGCACCCGAGGATAGAAAATGCTGTGGATCTACAACATCCATTACGTATTCATTCAACGTATTTGAAAGCCGAAATCTTATACCAACTTCATCAGTATCGCGAAGCTGAAGATATAATCCGCCCTGTGATGCAGATAGTTCTAGCCACATTAGGGCACAACCACTTGTTGACTATTGGACTAATGAATACGTTGTCTTTAATTTTGCGAAGAAGGTTTCATCTGGTGGAGGCCAATAGGCTTGCTAGGTATAGCCTTCAGATGGCCGATCAAATCAGACTTGGGTGCGACTTGGTTCGAAAGCGCAGGAGCACTTATGCCTATATTAGAAATCCAGGGCCTCTGCAACGAGAGTATCAATCTGTCCCATCACCTATTCAAATTATCGGTCGAAATCTTTGATTGCAGAGAGCATGCATTCCTTCTTCATCGCATGCAAATAGCCAGAGCCCTCTTAAAACAAGATGAAGCTTCAAAGGCAGTGGACATGCTCAGAGGGGCTCAGGATTATTCTTACGCATTTGAAGGGCAGCCAATATTTCTGGATTTCTTGGCCTTATTAGGTTGCGCTCTTCAGGAACAGGGGAACTTCGGGGAAGCTATAGTTTACCTCAAGAATCTCTCAAGTTAATAGTCGAATTGTATGGATGGGACTATGTAATTGTATATTTGCTTTTCAGGAGAATTGTAAGGTGCTGTGAAGGACTTTCACGCTATGATGAAGTATTGGAAATTTACGAGAAGCTTTTACGAAAATGGAAAATGTTTGTGGAGAAAGGATCGCCGATCAAAGTATGGATCAAGGAGATTGAAGATAGGAATTATGAGATAAGAGGATGGATTAAGGAGCACGACGAGGGTAGCCATGAAGGTGACGACGGCGAGGAAGAAGCATGCTTAGAAGACACAGAGTTAGAGGGTAATGATATTTACCAGGAGGAAGATAGGGAGGGTGAAGCTCGATTTGATATCAGTCTGGATGATATATTCAATACAGAACGAGATATCTCTAGGGATATAAGTCTTGAGGGGCTGCATCTTAATGATAGTTTTTTATTATAAATAAAGCAAGGAATAGAGGGGCTAAAAAAAGTTTCCGCTTTGGCATCCTCACTGCTGGAAGTTCTCGTCAGTTAGTACAAATTGGATAGTCTCATAACAATATGCATGCCATTTCCTGATTTAAAATGAATACTAAGTCGACATTTGCGGTACAAACAGGCTAGAATAAACAAGGCTCCACTTTTTTCCTAACCCAAGTGAGTTCCTATATGCCATTATTTGATCCATTGACTCCCGCATAAATCCTTAAATCAAGCGCCACAAGCTCTACTACATGTGTACTTGGCTGACATCAAATCTTGTTAAGGGGATGATAAAAAGTCAGAATTAATAACTGGGACTGTTTCGATATGAGTAGTGTTTGTATGTCTGAACCCTGAAGCGATGATTTCAAATAGTTTACGGTGTAAATATGGCTGAGTATATCTTCTCTGCTTTGAGATTCGTTTAGGTTATTAGGATGGGTACATTTTTGCAGAAAGATTCAATATTCTATATGAATGCAAGACCCGAATGGAATAATTACAATTCTCTAATATCACTCAAGAAGTAAGAATCTCTTGCCATCATTTGTGGACTACATCCGTCGCGAAATTTACAATCATCCATCTTACGCTTTCCTGTGATTCCTAGGAGATCATGCATCTCACGATATCTTGCACATCACACCACATTCAAGAATCTTATGTTTATAGATTGCATTCATGTAAATACATTTCGCATCTATTCGTCATCATCCATGACCATTCCTTCCTCCCCTCCCCTTCCAAGAATATCCATTCATCAAGCATTCCTAAGCAACATACCCTCCCAACCGCAGCCAAGATTAAAGAAATAGACGCCAAATCTTTCCATCTACAAGTTCTAAATTTCAAAGTTCCAGATATCTCTATCTCTCATTTTCTTCGCACCAGAAAAAAGAATCAAGTTGATGAAGCTGATGAATATAAACAGGAAAGTTCGTTCCCCAGGAAAAGAAAAAAAAGTCTGGGAAAACAGAAGAACAATAAGGAAGAATGAAGAAAAAATCCACCATGACACCCCCAAAGCAACCAACCATTGAATTTTGGGTATCCATAGAATGATCTACCGAATCTGATCAGAACGCATTGAATCAGATCGGAATAGAAGAACAAAATAGTAAGAAACAAAAGAAGAAAAAATGGAAGAAGAGAAGTTGATGTTCCAATATGGGACGTTCCTCAAGGCAGCTCGTCGAAATCCCGAATATGTTTAGCGTGCATTTCTTGCTGACCAGAAAGTTGTGCATTTCTTCCTTTTTGATGGCTCTTGTAGTTTTCAACCGGACTGCTATTTCCACTACTGCTCCAAATCGGGTCTTCTAATTTCTCGATTCCGGGCGCGTAGCCGGTATTGCTTCGTTGTGGAAGACCAGTAGGATGAGAAGAAAGGGTGGGAGAGGCAACTGGGGTCGAAGAAGCGCTTTTATGGATTCGCAATCCCATGATTTCGCCTTCGCTACCAGAGGGTGCGAAATAAGAAGGATTTTGATGGGTGGGTGTTTTAGCACGGGATTGGTGATTTGATGAACCATTGCGGCTGGAGCTTGGGTAGTTGCGTGTAGATCCATAAGAGGAAGAGGGGGTTTGCGGAAGAGGTGATTTGGGAGGGAGAGATGGTGGGTAGTTGTTGTGTGTGGAATAGTATTTGTCGGATGATCGCGAGGAATATTGCGGATCGATGACTTGTTTTGGAGGGGCGGGAAAAAGTGAAATGGTCTTCGGTGTTGGTGATTGTCTGGACTTGGGAGAGATATCTCGTGTGCGGATACTCAAGTTTTCTGCTCGTTGAATAGTATGATAACTTGCTTTGCTTTCGGCGACAGATACTGCAGTTGAGGTACGAGCGGTATCCATGTCATTGGCAGTTTCTGCTTCAGAAAATGTGGTTGTTCTAGCCATACTCTCGTAGCTAGAGACGGAAGACAAAGATCTACCTGTGGCAGTTGGTTCGAGTCTCTCTGGTACAGAATCAAGTCCATTGTTTTCAAAATTTGACTGTTTTCGCCATGCCGAAGATACGGTCCAGCAATGACTTCGACTGTGTTCGGCTTGCTGTCTGAGTGATTGATCTTCAATCCATGCAGGTTGTTGCTCTATTCTACCAGACAGGAAGTATTCGACTCCGTCAGAGTAATCCAATCCTGGCGTGTCAACAACAAGTGTTGATAAAGTCTGCAAGATAAAATAAACAAGAACCCAGCGGGCTCTACGAGCGCTTCTCGGATCATATTCGCCGATTCTGTCTGTCTTCTCCCATTGCATATACGCTTCCACCATCTCGTTACCCTCGTACTCGTCTCCAAGAAGAAAAATATTTGTTGCCTCGGTATATGCAAGAGCGGATTTTCTAGCTTCCAATTGTGTAATCCTCCCTAGAGTAGGTGGACACGATTGTGGCAGTTGAGCATAAGGGTGAGGAATGGAAGGAATGTTGTGATGACTGTCAAATCGCTCGATCAGACCGACGAAATCACAGTCATGGCTATTAGGACGAAACTCTGGAGTGCCAAGACGAACAATGTTGGACCTGCGACTGTTCATTTTTGATGAACCATTCCAGACAACTTTTCGATCCACTAAATAATCATAAAGTGCATAGAAATCGGCCGAGAGAGTTTTGACGATAAGTCTTGTAAGCCACCCATCGACGTTCCTAGAATCCGGTGGCATAGGAGGCCATGTCCCAAACATATCTGAGTAATGGTCGCGAAAGAATCCCTGAAGTCTGACAAAAGCTTCACGAGAGCTTACGCCATGATGACCCAAAGCTTCTGGCCAGTAAGATCCGTAGTCAAACCTAGCCAACAAATCCTCACAATAAGCTACCTGACTTAAAGTTTCGACGCTGGCCTTATCAAGCATCAACTTTGTAGCCGGTGAAACGTTCTTCCAGCTGGGTAAGGAAGCAACTTGGTTGTACATCCCTGCACAGTGTACAAATGCCTCGTGCCATCCTTGTTGCCAGTGTATTTTCTTGTGCTCGCTCCAAATTAAAGTACTACAAGCTAACTCCGGATCATCCCGGAGATCGTGCCATCCCATTGCTTTGGTGTAATTGACAGGAATGTGTGACAGATTCTGGTTTCGAGGCATGATTGCCAAGAAGCGCTCGTATACATCGGTGATTGCTTGATGTAAGGTATATCCAACAATTCCTTTGCCCGAACATACCGCAAAGACGTTTCTCCAGGACAGCTTGTATCTTAGTAAATCCTGTTTTGAGACATTTCCAGCAGGTGGCAATACAAATCTATAGGAGATCTGGGAGGAATCGAAACTTTTGCTGGATTCGGATCCAGGAGGAGACGGTTGTCGAGGTCGTGGGGGACCATTTCGGTAAGATTCAGAGATGCTCATGTTGTCCATATCGTCCGTCAAACCGTCGCGAAGTAGTTCATCTACTAATGGTGATCCTATGGTTTCAATCAAATGAGACCCCAGTCTAAAAGCGGGTTGCGGCATCTCATTGTCTCCTGCCTCATTGGCGTAGAATACCAGAGCGTCTCCTTTGGTGTCCCAAAGATCTGGATCTCTGACATCCATTTTATCCCATAACATAACTGGTTGTCCCTTTCGTCTCCACAACTTCATTTTTTGAGGTATTGGCGGAATATCTCCCTTGAGAGTTCTTCCTCGTTTGTAGGATGGCTGGCTTTCATGGCTGGGCGCTCGTCGTAAGGGGCTGACAGGTCGTTGATTTGGATAGGGCATTCCTTCTGCTGCTAACTCATGCTTCTCTTCTCCATTTGGTGTTGTGGGTGGGGTTTCACTTGGTACTTCTTTGCCTTTCTTCTTTTTGAAGACGTTTGCGAAGTTGTGACGAAAACTCTCGCTGCTCTTCTCCATCTTTGAACGAAAAGCCGATTTTTCGATCCCAGAGGTTTCAATAATCGGCATTTCAGGTCTCCTGATTCGAGCATATCCAGGATTATATTCGGGCTCGTAGTGAACACTGTTGAGTGATCTCGCTGAAGGCTCATCTGATTTCATAAAATCATGATCTGATAAATTTATTGAAGTGCCATTATCCATTCCATGAAAATCTGAAATTGATGGATCGGACTTGAAGGAGGGAGTACGCTCTTTTCCTTTGAGTGTATCATCTTTATTCAGGTAGTCATATCCTGCTTTGTTGTTCTTGTCCACCTTTACCTTCCTAACATAGGCTGAGCGCCCCGACATGATGACTGGTGGTTTGTGGAAAGATGTGTGTACTGTTCAATCGGTGGGTGGTGAGAGTTGAGTTTGAAGTTTGAGAAGTTTAAGAGCTTCGAGTGGAACTGAAGTGGTTGGTATTGGCATGTGAATCATCCAGCAAATTTCGAAAGCAAAGGCAGCACAGGGAATGAGCCCTGCAAAAAAAGAATTGAATGTAGTGAATATGAGGTAAATGGATTGTCAGATGAAGTCGAATTGCTATTCACAGGGAGGGAACAGAGCAATATCTTTCCGGTCTACAGGATTTGTAGATGAAAAGAATTTGCGCAAGACCAAAGTAAAAAGGGATGATCGAGTCAGAAGAGCCAGTTGGTATTGTTTCTCGATGAATTATTTTGTCGAGTGGGTGTTGTGCGGTCCGGACATATGGTTGTTCCGAAATAAGAAGTTATTCGGATGAAAATTAGACTTCACTGTCGCCATTCACTCCAGACAAGGGCGACCAGAACACACTTCCAAGGAACTTCCCAAGTGAAGACACTCAGCTACCATACCAAGATCTAAATATATATACGTTGAAGAACAGCCGGTATAATTAGGGTTAGACGACTTCTCAACAATCTGAAGATGTTGTGATGCTCCAAGAACTAAAAGATAATGATACCGAACGAGAAGAAACGAAACAAGTGAAGTCAATGTTGAAACTTTTCCAACTGGAAGAGATGGTGGGGAAGGGAGGTAAGTTGTACTGGGGAATGACACCAGGATCAGGATGATGATTGCTCTTAGTCTATTGCTTTTTTCTTTCAAGGCTGACAATGTACTACCAGGAGAGGGCCTTCTTTTCCCCATGCAATGTGTGAGATTTGACATGAATGATATGCTCTTGCATATGAACTGGGGGTCAAGATACATCTGTTGCACTCGTAGTCGAGCTAGTAGCACGAAGAAGGAAACTTTTTGACTGGATTCTCTGGTGGAGTTTCTCGATATTGGGAGTCCCCCGCAACATTGGTATGGCACCCCTCTCTGCTTCCCGTCCCCTTGGGTATCCTTCATCTGACGGAAGAGTCTGGATTGGTTAGATTGATTCAAAACGGAAGACGGAATACCACGCATTCTGGGAAGCTAACGGTCGACTCAAGGCTAGAATATGAGACCTTGCAACCTTTATTGGTTTATATGGGAATGTCTGAAATGGAAACTCAGAAGTTTTTTGCTTTTCTTCGCACTAAGAACACTCTACAGATTATCTTTCAGATCAGCACCTAAACAGACTATAGGGTCTTTAGGGCTTTTGCAATTTCGATAAACTCAGTAACTTATTAATTACAAGAATCATTTGGATTTGAATCAATCAAAGCTATTCTGAAGTCTTCCAGTATAACATTTGAAGCTTGGGTATAACATTTGAAAGCTTGGGTATAACATTTGGAGCTTAGGTATAACATTTAAAGCTAAACTATAATATATGAAGCTTAAGTAATTGGTAATCTTGAGTATAATTAAGTAGTTGAAAGGTATGCTAGCTATATTATTCAACAGAATTGATTCGATTATACACATCATTATGATGTTGTTACCGAACATGGTTTAACGGATTTTTTAAAGATCGATAAGGGGCTTGGCGTTTAGCTGCTTTCTTCCAGACGCTTTCGTTTATATCCAATGGGTAAGTAATTCATGTACGAGGTATGTATTCAAGGATACAGTGAAGCACACACATATCCACCGATATGAAGGAAGGATTCGTTGGTTCTGTGTGGTCTGGGGAGGTAAGGGGGGGGCCAAGAAAGAGGCATGTGAAGGAAGCCAGACAACTACTCCGTGTAGGTGTGCAAAAAGTAAGCATAAGGCGAGAGGTGCCGGCCGATGGCACAGTTCAGTCTACCTAGGTGTGGACTCCCGAGCTTTCTCTACGAGAATCTTCATACTAGACTTTTTCCTTTACCACCACTTATCACAATTGCCTTTTTTCATTGTTTGTCTAAAATTTCGAAATCTTGAAGTTGGCGAGCATCATTACTTTTCTTACTCAATGCAATTTCAAATCGCTTCCCAGGCCGCACCTCGTAAGACTTATCCGTTATCTATGTCAATTTCAGTGGGTTTGTCTCGATTTATCCATGATGTTTGCATTTACCATCTCCACCATGGCAACAGGGTATGCACGCTACACCCGGCCCCACTGCCTGCCCTGGATTGTTTATGGGTTTAGAACCTTTTAGGGCTTCTATTGCATGAAACATCCCGAGGGAATCAGGAAGGCCTGGGGGACAATGAATCGAAGGTATCTTCTATATGCTTCATCTTATCTCATGTGCTTACAGTCTTCGCAAGGACAACTTCACAATTAATCCGACGAAATTGGACATGACTTCGTGCCTCTATGGCTTGATGGTTTCATTGACTGTTTGCAGCGTTCCATTGTGCAGCGTTCCATTGAGGAAGCGAAGTGGTAGCAATTACACCTCCTGTACTTTAGCAACCCAGGCTCAAACGAATGATCGAGGAGAGCGCCTTCTCTACCGGTATCTACCTACATGCCTACCTGAATCTCATGGCACGATCGACCTAATCCAATCAGGTCTCTTTATCGTCGATGATAAGAAGTTCACGCCGGAAAGTTTCCCTCCCAAGTTCCAACTGTTGGACTAATTAATTCAACTCATTGTGTTTCGACTTTCATTTATTTAACATTTGTTACCGAAATTTCCGTGTACTGGGCTTATATTACAGCATCTTCTGTCTTCGGACAAACCCCAGCAAAGTATTCAAATCCGACGGTTGTCCGGGTTCATTCATGTTGCTTGTTATCTCGGTATCCAGACCCGGATCTAGGAGAATATCATGGATGGCAGGGTCAAACCCGTCAATTGTCAAACAATTGAGAGCAAACACTCTCGGAGCCTCATTCCCCTTTCTATCATCATCGTATGAGGGACTTGTTACATTTGTACCAGGTACTGCACGTCAGCATTCGTATCCGCTCTGCATGGTCAACACAATGTACACTCGTTATCCGTTACACGTTTTCAGGCATTCACTCATCTAATCCTCCATCTATCAAGTCTCAGCTCATCCCATCATCAATTGCTTGCGTTGAAGAATCAAGGAATTGAATCTCAATTCAACGTTATACAGCATGAGTTTCCCTATGCGTTCATCTGCCAGCTTATTATCAAGCCATTCATCCAAAAAGAGTCGTTTTGCCCCGCCGCTATACGCGTAAGACCTACAAGTTCTTCTTAGCGGGCCTAGCTTACCATGTAAGTGCGTCAGTTGTGAGCGATGTCACTTCCCCTATTGGCAGTGCCCTCCATACTTCCCATGATAAGGCAATCCCCACAGCTTACAACGTTTTACTTCTCTGAAAGCGGCAGGTAGTTCTTCAAATATTTCTCTACCGGAAGGCCGGAAGGAAATAAAACAGCATTGCATATCTTGGCAAAATTAGAGAGAAGTTTACATCTCTGTTCTGGCAGCAAGAACTCACTCATATTTCAATCTTGGTTTCTCAAAGGCCCACAAGGCATTGATCACATCAGGGTCTCTTGAAATTCAATGATAAACTTGAGCACCTTGTACGTAGATCGCCTCAGGCTTTTCTGGGGACGAGCCAATGTTCCACATTTTGGTGGGCGGACCGAATGAATTATTCTTTCATGGATGTGATCTAGATCAGAAATCCACATGTGGGTAGCATGCCTTGCGAGTTGCAAGATCTCAGTTGGAATTCTTCACAACACTGGTAGCACCCGGAGAATCTGGATTCGGATTTTGATTTCCTGCCCCTGAGGAACACATCGAGGGGCAACCTCCTAAGTCTCAGTTTAATTTACATTCAATTATTAGAAATTTAGGGTGTCCCGATCTAAGCACTACAGTCTGCTGCATAAGTAATTGTATCCGCTGATTCATGACATATTTTTCCATAAGTCAAAGACTTCAATTCTCGCCGGAGAGCACATTGATATGACATGTGTACTGCTACACGGCACATGTATAGGAAATTTACACACATGGAGGCTTAGTTTGTCACATGCTGTGGCCTGTACTTTGCAGAAGGGCTGCAGGAACAGGAGATGGACATCTGCATCGATTCATGTACGATCACAAGATCAATGAAAAGCTCCGAGCCTTGTAAATCATGGTTTGGTGGAGTCCCACGAGGCATGGCTTTTTGTTTCACCAATTTTTTTGACTCGATCTTCAATCGAGAAACAACACGACAATAAGCTTGAGTACCTGTACTAGGTACGTCTTTGATGACAAAGTATCTCTAACGGTAACGTTTGGGATGGCTTTCATTGCGATCACATTGGATGAGTACATTCTGTGGCATCGTACCCATGTGAACCTTAGCGACCAAAATTGTGGTCAACTCCTTCAAAAAAGCTACAAAAGTTCATCAGATGCGCAGCAACCTGGTAAGCTTACGTGTGGTCTTGCATCTTTTCGTTGCCCTTTCTATCCTCCTAGATTATCAACATGTAAGTATTTTCTTCGCTTCAGACATCATTCCGGTGGTCATAACTCTCGTCTCAGGAGTAGACAAACAGAGGCCACGCTTAATTTAATTTTCTTCTACCTTTCCATCCTATCAAACCGAAATTACAACAGCAAAGTCACAAAGATCTCAAAAATAAAAGTTGAGAAAAATGGCAAAACCATGCCTCCCATCACGAGGGGCGGGAGGGAACCCCTTGAGATGAGGGGCTTCGAATGACCCGGTGTGATGCTCTCAATCGCTAAGCCATTGCGCCGGTGTCCTTTTCTTCTCGATATAGCGTGTTTGTCAAAGAGAATGCCATCGTGTTAGTGGTTACAAAGAAGAGGATTTATTGATTTAGTAACAACCCAGGTGGGAAGATGCTATTCAGAGGGCACGGGCTCATATATTGGTATATAAATCTATAACCACATTTACAACAATGATGTGAGGACGCGGTGTCTCTGTAGAGGAAATTTCTGGATTTGGAGAAGATGGCTCTCTGCTTCCATTATGACCCGCACAACTTTTTCAAATCTGTTTATTCGATCTGAGCTGAGCTGGGTACGTCCTAAAATTGTTTGGTAGAAAACCCTCCCGAGTCGGATTTGAGTACCATTAATTTCAGGAGGTCCCATAAGTTCCGAGTTGCGTGTTGCGGAGTGGTCATCTTCATTATCTCTCCCGCAACCTTTATTGGATACGTTCCAATCAACTACCCAGGAAGGAAAGTCCATTGGTGTTTGCTAGATAGTGGTCAATCTCTACGAGCAAATCCAGATCAGAACCACTATAGAGTAATCTCTGCATTGTCACGAGGTAGACTCTCGCGATATCCATGTTATAGTCAGCGAGCAGTCTTTGCCCTTCACTGGGGTTGTCATCTGAATTCGATCGAGTACCATTACCAGGTAGTCGAATTGAGTCGATCGAGTCCGAGTGACTGATTTTTCTCCTCAGCTCATTTCCTTGAAACCGACGATTGTTTAGTGATTCAACTAAAAGCGAAGAATTCTGTTCTCTCCTTAATGCGCTTCCTTCTGCAACAAGGTCTATACCATACGTAGAACTATACTTCCTATAAGCCTCTTGCGCACGGAAAGCACCTTCAACGCACGGAAAGACATACTAAAATCTCTTACAGAATGACCTTCCCGCGGAGTATTTAAGAATTTGTCGCGGAACTCGTCCGAATCTTTTGAGTTCTCCATATGATTCAGCCATAGATGTGCTGCGCGTAAGGATACAGTAATTTCCCCTTGATTAAAATCCATGCTCAACCACGCAAACGTATTGTCTCTCGGATGCGTAGCGCTTCGACCCCTAAATGCTAACAGCAGTAGATGTGGTGGCTAATCTTTTTCACGTCTCATGCTACTTAACTGCTTGAATCCACCCCACTGTATGTTTATACCTAGATTTCCATCATCAAACGATATCATTAGTTTGACCCGATCATAAATCTCTGGCGCTCAATCATCTCGTCACAGTCCTACTTCTCACTTCTGCAGATTGCCACGACTTCTTTCAAGAATGTGATTTTCTGAATAACCCACACTCTCTTCCACCATGGAGCAGCCATGATGTTATCCACTATTCCCCATGCAGAAATATCTATACCTAGAAGTCCAAGACTCTCCCAGAAGCGATATTTATCCTTAGGTGGCAAATTATTGATGTCAGATGCACACTGTAATTCTTTGCCCTTCCGTATCAGATCGAAGATAGTGGCCACAGGTTTGGTATCCTCGAACTCCCCAAGCCAGAACAAACACCTTTCAGTCTTCTTATAGACATCACGCATGACTAGCATCTCTTTACTCTTCTTCTCGTCATTATCGTTCTAATTGATACATATTCCATCATTCCATTTTCTTCGGATGACATCCGTCTCCTTCAGCTTCTGCATGGCAGCAAAGAGATTGGTGATGACATCGAATCTCTTGCCATTGACCGTTATTGGAACCTTGCAAATGGCATCACCCCAACAATATGATAATGCTTCATATGGCTCAGGTTCTCCCATATTTATATTGACTAACTTTGCGTTGCCAGATGAATAAGAACCAGGTGAAGGAAGGATTTGTAAAACGCGTATATTGTAGTTCCCATTCGATAAGACGCCTGACGTGAATTGTAAGAGTTATCAAATTTACTTACCGCATCCTATAAATTTTATAACAAAATCCCTACAAAAATGATGTTTTTTTATACAAATTAAAAAAATTGATAACTTTTTCAATTTAAGGAATTTTATTTTCAAAACTTTAGAATAAGTAATTAATATTATTCTTTATTGAAAAAAATATATATTTTATTTTTAGTTATTTTTGTTCATAAATTATATAGATTTGAAATTGAAAAAATTGAAATTTTTAATTTGTAACACTTTTCCTATACAAAATAAATGATTTTTTTAGAAAATTTATAATTCTTATTTTCAATAGCTTATAACTTTATATATAAAATATTTAAAAATAAACTAGCTCTTTTTATATATAATTAAATTAATTTTCAATCAACTCTGAATTCTTTTAATCATTTTATATGAAGTTTTAGTAAAGAAACAGGGGTCTTAAAAGCTGAAAAATCAATGGTTTTAGCGGGGAAATCGAAATCTGTGCGGTGAGGAGGTTCCAGAACTCTTACTACACTCCAAAAATGCTAGAAGAATCGAGAGGCGACCTGCCACTGCTTTCAAGACGGTCTCTGAATTGTCTACTCTGCTTAAGTCTTGAAGGGAAGAAAAAGTGGTCATGCTCATAGCCATAGTCATCGTGAGTGATCACGATCGAGAAGCTCCAGAGACGTCTTGGTGTAGCCACTCACGGTACACCACAAATTCCGGTACCCAAGATCTGTAGAAATCAAGCCTCGAGAATGATTGGATCTGTCGTAACCTTCTATTTTGAGTATCTACAGGGCATTTCCGGATCCCCTTGGTGCTTCCGGCTGCCGCTGTAGTGTCATGCCGGATTACGTGAGATAACTAATGCCGAAGGTAGGATCATATATGTGGTAAGGAAGTGCATATCTTATGATTTGTGTTGTTTGCTTCAGGATCTATAATTACCGTGAGCTGCGGGTGTGTCTTGTATTAGAGTTGCTATCTCTGAGGTACTTTGTATTCACCTATTCTGAAACTGATCGAAGTTAAGACTCTTGACGAAAGTTCAATGTTGTAGAGTGTAGTATGATGTGACTGTGCCAACATCGCATATATCCTTTGCGAGGCGCAGGTAATTTGGGATTATAAATTAAATATATATTTGCCCACTAAAACTATCTACCAAGAAAGTAAGTAAAATGAAACTACCACGGAATCTATATCGACCTAACAAACAACCCCCCCCTTCTCGTTTTCCATACCCGAGACATTACTCCTATCTCTCTGTCTAACAATCAACTCCTTGACCTCTGGAAGTCCTTCCCACCCTCTTCCATTCCCTCCAAATCTAACGCTCTTCTCCATGACTTCTCTCCACCTAAGTCCAGGCGCCAACTTTCCAGTAATAGTATTTGGTCTTCTTACATCAGCATTTGTCGGAACTGGCAATGCTCTTCCCAACAATGCTTCCATTGCTTGCATCGCAAAGCCTACTGCTTTTCGTGCATTTAAAGGAATACCGGTTTTATCGAAGCTGTCAAAATGGGCTCCTGGAAATTCTGCTTGAAGGTCCGAGATGAGGGGAGTGTGGGACATGCCTCGACCATCGACAGTTATATCAGCTGCGTTAACAGCGTCGCGACCGGGACCAAAAAGAAGAATTTGCTGGGCAATACTGGCGGAGGTGAATCGTGTAATGGTAGATATTGTATCTGCGGGCGAACAACCTCGATAAGCGCACATGCCTATGATTTTGAAAGCCATAGCATCGCCATAAATTTCTCTAGCTGTGGTTTTCGGTGGTCGTGTGCTGAGGTATTCATCATTGGTAAGAAGTTGCTCGACTACCTCGTGACATATTGTACCGTGTAAGAAAGAGGATTGGTCCTTCTGAGGGTCGAGGCCAAAGTGACGATAGGCTGCGTCAATCATACAAGTGCCTGGCCCTGTATCCCAATCGTACATTGCGTCTATTCCGCCCTTTTTATCCGATGGAATGAAACATATAGTTGTGATGCCTCCAATTGTTATGCAAATCTGTAATCTAGTAGGATGGTGCAGCAAAAGTCCGACCAAGTATGCAAATAAAGGAGCACCTTGTCTGCCGACTGCTTGCTCTGCCGTTCGATAGTCGGAAACAGTTGTGACACCCGTTTTTGCAGATATCACAGCCCCTTCTCCTAGACACATGTTCGATCGATGTTGTCCCCGTGGTGGAGCACCTGTTAAGGTAACGAGCTGTCCACCAGATCCAATCAAATCAATGTCATCCACTGAAATTCTATGCTTATGTGCGAATATATGAATAGCGTTGGCAAAAGTATGTCCCATTTCTGCGTCCATTTGCGATAACATACTTGGCGGAGCGGCATCTTCCCGTAACATCGACAGGATCTCGGATCGAATCTTCGAAGGCATGACGACTGAATCATACTATGGAGTATTAGCTTATTTATTTTGTAGAATAAATGTTGCTGTATACCTGAATAAGATCCAAGTGCAGTGGTGCTTCTGGAGACTCTTGTGTATAACGACAGAGTGCAAAATCAATGTCATCCATAGCAGTTCCAGACGTGATACCGAGAACCAATAGATTCAACCCCACAGAATTTGGCACGCCATCATCTGAAGATGACGAGCTTGAACTTTGGTAACTTCCATTTACCTTCGATTGTAAAGCCTCCAGATATCTATGCCCAACTTTTGTTCGAACTCGACCTTTTGGGGCCGGGATCAAACCATTCATAACCATGACCATGCCCACGACATCAGATCGAAATAATGAATTGGAAACAGCCGCACTCGGCTCTCAAATAGTGTAGAGGGGATCAGGACCATGTAAGTCTGCAAAACAATTTATCTGTGTAGAATGCACATCCAAAAGAATCAAGGTGTTTTGAAGTACAAAGGTATCGGGAAAGGCATGGTTTCTGTAGTCGAGCGTTGCTTCGATCTCGGAATAAGAGTGTTAGTGAAATCGTTCAGGTTAGTGGACTCATCAGTCAAATAGCAAATATTGTGCAAGCATGACGTGGGAGAGATCTTCCTTGTGTCGTTGAAAATTGGTGAGAGGGAGAAATGTTCCTCATATGGAAATATTATGCGTGGGAAAAGAGGCCAAGGCCATGACATTATTCGGCTAAGGCACCTGGACAGTGGGGAGTTGTCGCTGGTGAGCTCCAATGAGTACTCCGTGATGGTGTTATTTAGGATGCGTTGTTCAGCAGTATCAGACTCGTCGAAGATACCACGATGCTGTGCTCTACAAAAAATAGCTGCGCAATTGCACTAATAAAGCTTGTTACAGACGCGATAGCAGTATGAGAGAATGCTATCGCGTATGGCTCGTAGATCTGCATACATCGTAAGGTGTGTGAATACACCAGGTAAAGATCAACATCTGTAGCGTATGGTGCCAATGAAGGCGGAAGTGTATTAGATCTTGGAATGGGACGTTATCTGGTTCTTTACTATTAATATACCCAGTAATGTTTGTCTTCCACTATTTTGGGAATGAATACTAAGAGCAATGGCTTTGAAGGCGCTGGGCATATTCTATTCTGGGTAGATAGAGCTATCCGGATTCAGATAAACAATCCCTTTTCCGAAGCTTATCGTTTAATAAGTGGGAGGAGTTCTAAGCAAGTCAATATCATTGTCTTAGAATTCAGTTCGATGTAAGTCTTGTCATCGGCTGGTACGTTGAGACATCGAATTGCTCGAGCATACAATGAGCTCACTGGGAGAGAATTCAAAGATGCTTCTTTGAGATGATAAAGTTGTCAAGCTCACCGGGAGGAGGTAAAAGCGGAGAAGTCAATTAGGCCTAGCTCAAATTATTCTGCCGCCCCGCATAGCAACATAGCATGCTCGAGGCATAGTAGTAAAGGTTTCAATTCTCAGAAGTCTAACTGCTAAATCTATTCATCAATTTATCATGGGACTTTTCAGCCCTTCGCAAGCTTCTCTGCCCCCTCCAAAGATTGGCGCAGATGGTGCGCCCATAGCCCCGGACCGAAGTCAAAGATCACAATGCTGGGAAGCAAGAGATGCATACTTCAAGTGTCTGGATAAAAATGAAATCATCGATAGCCTCACGGAGAACACCAAAGCCGAAAAGTCGTGCGGAACAGAGGCGAGAGTATTCGAACAAAACTGTGCTACTAGTTGGGTAAGTTTTTTTTCGCCGCAGAAAGATTATAGACTGCTGTTATGGATTGGCTCATTACTGATCTTCGCCCCCTTCGTCAGGTTCAATACTTCAAGAAACGAAGAGTGATGGAATACCAGCGCGAACAAACATTGCAAAAATTGAAGGCTGAAGGGGCACAACAAATGCCAGGAGTTATAGGGGCGGGAGCACCTGGTCAGAAACCATGAAGGATTTTGGTGGAACGAAATGTACAACAGTTTATGGGAAGGAATAATCCGACGGTCTACGGCGTTGTGTAGGAAGCTTACACGAAGTTCCCCATGACCAAACACAATTACAGTCATGAAAAAGGGACATTCCTCAAGAGCCCAAAATATATTTCTTCAAGTCTGGGTTGCAATCAATTGCTCACATTCACAGACGGAATCTCCATCGTTGAATGACATATTTAAGAAAATGGAGTGCCCTTCTAGCACTGGAAGATATTTATCCAAGGTTCAAGAAAAAGAGTCACTGTAATTTATAAAGCATAAGTCAAACATAGGTTCAAAAAAAGGTCGAGTCTCCTGGTCATATTGCTAATCACCAACTGAATTGACGTCCCGAATATATGCAACTTCACTCCAGACAAATAAGTCCTCAAACTCGAAAGTTTCAATCATCAAGGCCATCACAAATATGCTAATCCACCCTCGACTTCTGGCTCGCAACCTATATACGGATACGTTAAAATTCTCTAACTCTTTTGTGCCCAAGCGGGTCATGGAAATCGATCAACATATATGTGCACGTTACTCAGCCAGATTTGTGAGGTGGGTGAATGACAGTCTGCATTTCACGTTCAATGTAGTGAGCTCTTGTCATACGGACTTTTAGTTATTGGCAGTCTAGTAACTATGGATCTCAATGCAGAGACGTGTCCCAGGAGATCGGGTCTCCGCAACTATATTACATTTCTCAGACATCATGAAGTCTATACGCTTGAAGAGATTCAAAAGATATCATCTACAGCATGAAAATTTTTACAAACAATGCGATGCTGGTATCCCACTCATCTACCAAAATATACCAAGCATAGGTGATAGAGTGACCATGCATTCCCCAAAGTCCAAGATTTACTCATGACTCCAGAGGTGTCGGTAAAAGCTCGAGGAGCATCCGTTTTCCCCCATCTTCTGTCTATACAACTTTTAAACAAGTCAATTGAGTTTCTGCGCATCATTAACCCTATCATTCGTATCAAAGAACAACGTAAGGATTGCACTTTGAAGTTTTGATGTTTGAAGTCCTTACTGTTTCTTCTCTTCCCTCAAAACTTTTTTTCTGTATTTGTTCGTTCTTTAGGATCCCGTTTTTTTTTCTTGTTTTTATTGAACTATGCAGGCGGCACCATACTGTACCGTACAGGTAGTTGTATGTGTACTTCTTAAAGGAAAAACTATGTCTTCTAGGGTATAATGGTCATGTTTTTTAATGTGATCTCAATGTATCAATCTTTTGATTACTGTGCTACTTCTGGTTGCAATCAACATTTCGAAGTTTTGGTTGAATTTTTTTCTCTCCTCCCCCCTTCAAGTAGCATAAACTTTCCAAACCTACGCTCATGAAACGATCTGCTAGGGAGTGTAAGCCAATAGGATTTAATGTCTATGGTGGTTCACTGTCTGCCCTGTGCATACCAAAGCTGATATGGTTCTTTTGCATGTCTACGCGGATATTGACCACTCGCAAAATCGTTTCTGACAGTCGAGCCAAGGGGAAATTGCTCTTCATCCAACGGACCAATCTTTCCATTGCTGACACTGAAAAAGGACTCTAGATTATGTGGCCACCCACATTTCATTACTAAAAGGACTGGAGAAGAGCTGTAATTAATAGGTTTAAGGTCTTTGAAGGTCTCGACAGGGTATCCGGCTTCTACCAGGAGACGCAGAGTTAGGAGATCTCCATTTTCAATAGCATATAGTTCAGCCGTTCTGTTGATGTGTGTATCGGAATCCGCCGTATCCCTCAACAGTAGGCTCATGATAGAATGCTGGCTCCAAAATGAGGCTATTTCAATCAGTGCAGCGTTGTATCCTCTGTCTCTGGCTAATGAAACACCGTGATTCAAAAGAATATGAACGACATTTTCATGGCCCTTGGTAACGGCAAATCCTATGGCATCCATCTTGTTCTAACGTACACGTATGGCGGTGGCAAAGCCATCTCGATTCGCGTCATTTTCGAGGTGCCCGTTCAATGTTACTATTCGTAAAGGCCTTCCAAAGTGCAAATGAATTTCTGTAGGTGCATTGTGAACTTCTTCGGCTGAGGGATTAGATATAGCCGAATTGAACCCACATCTGTATCAATCAAGCAAAATTTCAATGATTTTGATCCTTCCGTAACTCGCGGCAAGATGTAAAGGTCTTCCAAAATATCTGTTGTCTAAATCGGCATCAGCGCTACAATTTTCAAGTAGTTCTCGTACAATGGAAATATCCCCAGCAATAATGGCTACACTGGGAGTAGTTTGGGTGTCTAGCCTTGCGTCGTCATCTTCACCGATAGCAGCGTTACAAAATTATAATCTCCTTCGACCACATGCATCTGGATCTCGGTCATTGCTTGGGCCACACTTCAAGCGTTCTTCCATCGCATGCAAACTTTGATCTCGAAAGCTGTTTGCTCGTCTCTCGTGTGGATGTTGTTACTACACGTCTTCAAAGAATGAATAGCTTGATAGACAGGAGAGAGTATCGTATGTTGGGGGTTAGTTCATCTCCAAATGAATGAAGAGATGTGTAACGCCGGGTCAATTGCTATCGGGATATTTGAGACGTATTTCAAGAGCCTCACCAACTGGGCCTTGTGAGTTTGCCATGTAGTTGAGGCATAATGTTTTCGTGATTATTGTATTGACGAGTTCTGATGGTAGGTTAATATGATGGAAATATCATAGGTTTGACATGACTAGAACATACCGCAAGAACTCGTAAGTTCATGCTCTTCCAGACTCCGATTGTTACTAGTATCTGATCAAACATAATTGCTAAAATGTCGTCGGGTAGGTCGACGAGATGCTTTGCAGATACAGCCATGATGACTGACTGTTTTCGATGGGAGCAATGAATTCAAAGCTAACCGTGCTGATAGCGACGCTTGAGAGTACTAGTTGGGTTGCAATCATCAACCAAATTGCCTCGAACTTTTGTAAAGCGGAAAGGATAGTCAATGTTGGTGAATTCAAGATTCTGGGTTTATTAGAGGTTGTGTGGAATTGTGGCTCAGCCATACCTACAACAGCCATCGAATCTATCCAGCGCGAAACCGAGACACCAAAAAACCAGATCTACATTCACTTGAAATTTAGAACAAAGTTTCATTGCTTCATACTCAATCAGACAAAACCACTAGTCTTATTAACTAGGTAAGCATTTTGTGATACAGCGTTGAACTTGAGGAGTTTGTAGTTTTATGGCAAGCTGGAGAGTTGTCATTCTTACTTTCTTCATGTTCACCCACCATGCTCTCGCCTGCTTGGCTAGCCCGCATCTTCTTTGATACCGTTGGAGTTCCGAAAGTCAAAGAGAGATGTGCACTTGGCTCCCGGTATTGAGTGACTGCAAAATATTGAAAACTGGATGCTCCATGAAAGAAACTGCAACCTGGATGTATTTTGGAGACAAGCAAAAGAGTGTGCATGCCTCAAGGTAAGTTCGGAACGAAAAGCCAGCTATGAACAGAGCATTCATCGCTATCGTAATCAGTATGACATTCCTAGGGCCTAAAATGACTTGTCTGGAAAGGTCGAAGCAATAACTGTAGCCAGCTGGTGCAGCATTTATGATGGCCAGTCTTCACTCCCCGGCCCATTGGCTGGAAAGGAAATACCGTCCTGCTGCCTTGGTATTAATACACGGCCCTTGAAGAATCGGTTATGAAAGTACTGCGAAAGCGCAAAACTGTTCATCTCCAGGTTTCGTAGCCGATTAGTGCAGATACAACTAGGAAACGCCTGGGTTTATAAGCTTCCTCTCTTAAGCTAATGATATCCCCTAGCTGAAACCAAATCGATCGGCTTTCTTCTCAATTCCTTCTGGCTGCTGCTTATGTTCTATCCGCTCTCAGTACAAGATGAGAATGTTCAATCAAGCTTGAGTCTTTTTTACGTCATCTCGTTCACTGCTTTCTTTAAATTTCACCGGGACAAGAATTCATACCTCAGTAACCTCACTATATCATCCATGATGGGTGACGATGATACTCTCTTCAGCACTAGGCCAAGATACTTAACAGGGTGCTGAATTCTGACGAAGTTTTCAGCTTGCAAAAATGAAGAATCTGGTCCTCTCCAGCGTATTCAAACACCCATCCTATCCTCCCCTTACCTGTAGGATAGGAAGGTTGGTTTTGAATCAAAGGATAGGCAAGATAGGATATTCATGAAAATCTACAGGAGATAGGAGTTCCATCCTGGGCCTAGGGTAGGATGGGAGAGGATGGAGATGGGAGTTTTGAACCGCTGATCGTCTCCTATTATTCTCCAATCAACAAAAGCAAACGCTTCTCGATTATCTACCTGCCGAATTCCTTACATCGCTATGTAAATAAGAACGGATTGGAAAGGAGCGAAACGATATGAGTAGGTACTGGAACCGGGTTATATACGACCGAAAGGACTAAAGTTGCCATTTCAACTAGTTTTAAAGGGGTAATTTTGCAGAGTTTTGGTGCTGCTACGGGTAATGAGATTACTCAAATTTTGATGTACGATTTCACTGTTCTTCCTTAGCTTGAGAATTGCCCATTATCAATGTTCATGTGTTCCAAATAGCCCAGTGTAATGGCTGATGGGTGGTTGGAGAGGGAGGGCTGGAAAGAATGAAGATGAGAGGATGAACGACTCAAGAAATCCCTTTCCCAATCGCTCAATGCAGTCGTTATGTTGCCTTGGATCTCCCGTTTCTGGTACGTTGACTACGAAGTATTGACCAGAGCAGAATCAGCAGACATCTGTTGCAGATCTGCGAGAGATGATTCCCAAACTGGATGTTTTCCCTTCGCATTTGGCCGAACATGCAAAACCACTTGCCTCCACCGAAATACACCGTACATTCATTATTTGATCTTGATCGTGTTAGACTCACGCTAATGCCTTGACGTCTCTACTGACTTTTCCAAATAATCAAACTTGATTCAATAAGCATAAAAACACAGTTCACTGGAGTAGATGAGGGGGTTGTCATTCATTTATCCATGAATACTGAATAAGTTGACTGTGACAGACGGCGATCATCTTATTGGGCCATTAATCTACTCGGGAGCTTTGAGCCCCAATTACTTTCTTCTGGAATGTCTTTACCCGTTGGTTTAGATGATCAGGTCCCGTTTGATTAGTGCTGTGGAGTCGACTTTAGTAATATTACCGAGTTAGCACATGGTAAACTGGTATTCTTCACCGTTGCCTTCCTCTTCTACTGCCCATGCGGACGGTGGATGTCACTGATGGATTTGATTCTTCGCGAGGGTTACATTGAGGTTCATTTGAATGTTAAAAGTTAAAACTTAAGACTTGAGAGGCAATGAGGGAAGAAGCCGATCATTAAGAATCTACACTTCGATCGAAATGTGTCATCACTACAATAGATCAACGTAATCTTTTAAAATTCCTAGTGATCATTACTTACTGCAAAATCATGCTTGATATACAATTTGAAAGAATACAAAATATGGAATCGATTTCTACCTCAATTCTGAAAAAGATGCATTTTAAGATTCTTGTTCAATTGTGTGGGTTTGTTGTATGATTTTTCCTGTCAGTCGCGACTCGCGAGAATGGCTACAGAGTGGGTTCTCACACGAGAGAACGAACCCCTTGAAGATTACCCAGTACTTGGTCCTTGCAGTCCCTGATAATACTTTGTACACCAGACTCGTCCATCAGATTGGTATTTGGGAAGGAGTCAAAATCCTGGGTTTGCATCGAGCCTCCTTGAAATCTAAAGAATTTGATGGTAATTTCAATGCAAATCATTTAAAGCCCAATTCTGATTTTAATCTTTTTCGAAGGAACACAGTTTTCCCCAACAAAGCTTTGATAATTTATTCAGGGTTATTCCTACTACGAAGGATTCAAGCATGTTTCAACCGTCCAAACGTTGTGAATATTGAGATACGGGGCTGAGCAAGAAAGCCAGTAGACTTGCACAATGCGAACCAATGGGCAACCTCGGCAACTATTTCCTTTTATTAGTCTTTCAGAATTACATGTGGACTGTCAATGTCAATCTCATCCTCATTCATGCATTTGTACGGATATAACCCAGAAATCACACCCACGATCTCCATGACAGGCTCACAAGTAAAGCAAGAATAAGGATACCTGAAAATAAAGTTTATACAGATTGGCACTAAGCGAGTTAGTTGTTGGAGGCTAATGCTTACATGATGCTGGTAATACGAGGTAGCCTGTAAAAAATAAAATTTCATCTTAAGGAATTTCATACTTGTACCGTATAAACTTAACAAACTGAGATTATATTTAACCGCATTTAGTCTAGTGTGCAAGTCGTACCCTACAAACTAAAATAAAAGAAACAATTTTAAATATTTTCAATAAATCATTATTAAATCTAAATTAATATTTTGTTCTAGAGTCGAAGGCTTTTTTAGTATTTAATAATAGAAATAGAATCTAACTAAGAAAAATTACAAAATTTAGAATTATAAAAAATTGAATTCAATAATTAAATCACAATAAGAGTATATATATATTATTCAAAAAAAATTAAAAATTTTACATCTTAATAAGTTCAACTAAAGAGGATAATAACATACTAGGTTGAATTTAGTTAAATAGAATCTCAGTTTATTATGTTTATATAATATTCTAATTAGTAAATCCTTCATGAATTAAGGCAATCTGAATGTAGTGCTATTCTTTCTATTGGGCAGATGTTTGACAGAATAATAGCGGTGTTTAATTAGGTTAGTGGTTACCGAGTCAATTTCCTAGGAGCGCAGGCCACTCTTTCAACGAATAACGGAGCGCTTCGATGCTTTCCCAATGTAGCAGCCTAGCGAGTTTAGGGGTAAAAACCTCAGCAAGTAATAGTGGGATAAAATTAAGCAAATGCAAACACTGTGCCACCGAAGCTCCTCGGTGAAGTTTCTTAGGGTTTTCCTCAAATGGGTTCAGGTATGGCATTGTATTTGTTTTGCAAGGAATCTCACTCAGATATGACAAGGCTGTGAAATTTAGCTTTGATCCTCCTCTTTTATCATTCTCTTCTACTTTTTTTCTTCTGGATCATCTTCCAGAATTTCATAATATTTTGCTATCCAAGATGGCGATACAATTCTCCAAAGCAAGATATTCCCTTCAGAACCAAACGACTCGTATCATCAAAATACTCTCCATCATTGTCTTCTTCTACATCTGCACGTATTTCCTTTTACCTCGAATCCAATCCACTCCTCTCACCATCACCGAGGAAGATATATCCTTCGAAGAACGAACCGCTCACATCGGCAACAACTTCCTTCCCGCCGCTAGCGCCGACCAACTATGTGCTTCTCACTCCCTCACATCCTATCCCGATCGTTCGCAAAAACGTAAGATATATGATCTCTTCATGGTCAATTCCGAGCTGGATTGGCTCGAAATCCGACTCAATGAAATGAACACTGAAGTGGATTATTTCGTCATCCTCGAAGCGCCAACTACCTTTACCGGTCTTGCAAAAAACATGACCTTTCAAGAACACCGAGCCAAATTCTCTGCTTTCGAGGATAAAATTATCTATCACGTTTTGACCGATGCTCCTCCCCCAGTCTCCAACACCACGTTACCCGGCTCCAAAGAATACGAAGCCAATGCATGGATCCAAGAAAAATTTCAACGGGACGCCATGTTTACCCAGGTATTCCCCAAGCTGGTGGACGAACAGAAACCCAACGAAGGAGATGTGATACTCGTCTCCGATATTGACGAGGTAATTCGACCGGCTTCTCTTCAAGTCCTACGTAATTGCGTATTCCCCGTGATCCTTACACTGCGCTCGCAATTCTACTACTATTCCTTCCAATTTCGACACCGAGGAGAACAGTGGGCACATCCTCAAGCGACGTTCTATCGGGGTCTGGAAAACACTATTAAACCTCATAGTTTGCGTAGTCGCCACGGAGGACACGTACAGGTGGATGAAAGAGATAGTAAAAGTATCGGAAATTTGTGGAATGCGGCTTGGCATTGTAGTAGTTGTTTTAGTACACTCAAGGAGATGCGAAGGAAGATGGAGAGTTTCAGTCATACGAACTTGAATAAGCAGGAGTTCAGAATGACAGATAGGATTGTGGACAGAGTGGGAAGGGGAAAGGATTTATGGGATAGATTTGGTCAGGTACGTGAATGATGTTTCTTTCTCCGCAATTTGGGATGGGGAAATGGGGTTGCTAGGTGCATCTTGAAATGATAGTTGAAGATTCAATCCATCTTCACGAATCCAAGAGGTCTCGAGTGAACCTTGTCAAGTCCACTCACCCTTTCACATTTTCCGTTATTCGTCTCCTACCACCAAAAGAGAAATACACTAACCTTCGATCATCAACAGTGGTACAAAAGAATAGATAACAACAACGACATCCCAAGCTATATCAAAGATCACCGATCCAAATTCGGATACATGGTTGATCGCGATGGTGAAGGAGCCGGATTTGTCGATTACGATGAAGTCATTGCAGAAGAAAAGAAGGGAACGGATTTAATTTGAGAGCTTCATGGATGAATTCTTTAAACAGGGATGAATTCTTTAATGTTATAATATGGTATATTTTATGAGGACATTTGCACTAGCATTTACGTCAGGAGTTTAGGTTTTGGATAGATGATTCGTCACATTTCTTAGAGTTTAGAACCGGAGCGTAAGATTCCCTATGTTTTAAGACTTTGAGAAAGGAGATAATGAAGGAAAAGAAGATGGGTGGAATTTCACATACTCTAGAAAGGGGTATTTATGGATTCTTATAAGGTCTCTCTAGGGGTCTTTCGAGCGGGGTAGCTGTGGATGTATAATAGAACGAAGACACTCCAACTGAGTGTATTATGCTATACGCATAGTGAGCATACTACAAATATTCAAACGAAAAATTAGACCTCATCGAATGATCAGACCGGTGCATCCAACCTCCAAGTTTTCAGTGATCTAAACGCGCATCCACTAGGATACATGCAACTGCTTCAAACAATGATTCTAATCTCTGATGAAGGGGGTATCAAACATTATTTCATGCCATTTTCATGCCATTTTCATGCCATTTCATCCGAAAATAAACTCCCATCCCATTGTCCATTCATCCATAAATAACCAGACTTTTCATTGGGAGATGGGCCTTCCATCACCACAATACATGTATTCATCACATTCACCCTTCATAAAACGACAAACCATTGCATGATATCCTCTACTCACAGTTAAACCCACACTCGATTATTCCCTATTATTCCGCGCTTCCATCTCCGCAGCCATTGGTGGTCCAGGTACCATAGGCGGTTCGCGGAGAAGTGATTTTTTCTCCTGACCTAGAACTACTATTGTCGCATATTCATTAGCACATATTCATTGATTCATTCATTCACTATCCTCCCCTCTCTCTCCCTTTGCACCTCTGAACCCCGCAAGAATCACACCAAATCAAATAAACAAAAACAACTCACATCTATCCCAAAGCACCCAGCTCGTAACAAACAATATAGGCAACGCTACAATCGTCATCGTCACTCTCCTCGCTACACTCTGATAATTTCCCGGCAAAGGTTTCTCTCCCTTTCCTCTACCCATCGAGCGCGCGCCAGCCGGCGTGGTCAAACGCGAGGTTATAGACTGGTTTAGGGCTTTGAGGGGAAGCTCAGATTTCGTGGATTTCGTCGCTGTGCGAGCAGGTTTGGGTTGCGATTGGGAGGGTTTTGGTTTGGGAGATTGAGATGAAGATGAAGCAGGAGTTTCCTGAGTAGATGCAGAACGTACACTTTGCATACGCTGCACCTGTGCCAGGATCGGAGAAGCTATCATCGTGGTTGCGTTTGCGACCAGAGAAGATCGATTTTCTGCGCTTGGTATGCCCGGCATATTCGGATCCAATGAATCTATAACTGCCTCCGATTTCCAGTCGCTTTCTTTATCGATAGTAGCGGGTATGGGGACAATCGCAGTAGAGGTCGCAGGTATGGCGATACCTTTTGATTCCTCAGTCGTCGTAGGCGCAGACGCAATCGCGGCTGCAAAGGCAGATGTTCCGATATTCGATTTCGTCGATGGAGATGCTTTCTTCTTACTCACTCTTCGTATCGCCGATGTACTATTAAATCCAAATTTCAAGCCTTCAGATTCCTCAACCTTCGAGGTCGAAATGTCAGATAGCGAAAATGATGCTGAGATATCAAGAATGATTTTCTTGGGCCTCGAACTTTTTGTGGTGATAGTTTCAGTGTTATTAGCCGCCATAATTGATTGATAAGGGCGGGGCGAGGTTGTGAAGATTCACGTTGGTGAACGCAGACGCGTTTCTTTGGGATTTTGATATTGAGTTTGTTTTAATTACTTTTTTATTCAAAAATTGTATTATTCTTACTTTTTTTCCTTCTCTTTCTGTTCAATACCGTGTTTGATAAAGAATTTCGATCATTATTGGAATATTCAAGTGTACTTTTCAAGGCCTTTATCAATACTGGCATAGGAACCTTTATCAGTTATTGCTTGTACTTCACAGGGAGCGGGTGCTAATATACAGCGAGAAGAAGTCTGAGGCAGATTGAGGGAACTTTCGTGGTTTGGAAGAATGGAAGGGAGAGGGGGTTGGAGTGGCTGTATGATGAGAGAGTTGTCTATTTTCTTTTAGTTAGTGAGTTGAGAGATACGAGAGAATGGTATGAGGATGATTCGGGGTAGAAATTCGATGGAAGGGGGGTTTCCTTCCACTTCGGGAATATGGATAGGTGAATATTATTCCGAGTCCTTTGAGTTGGAAAAACTCAATTCCTCGTGTCAGTTTGTTCGTTTATTTGTTTTGTATAGGGATAGAAGGGGGGGTATGATTATCTGTAGAATCATATTTTATCTCTTCCTTTCTTATTATGTTTATCGTTATTTATACATGATAGTTCGTACGATATACACAATCCTCCTGGATTGCACCCGCTCACTCTATGTAATCGATATTGTTGGGAAGATATGGAATTAGAATTCGAATCAAGAGTTCTCCTTGCAGGTTGAGAGATATACTGAATGTAGTATATCCGTATTACTCTTAGGTATCTAAACGAAGTTTTATGGTGGGAGTAGGAGTCTCTACTATCTACCAGGTATCTAGACGATTCTTGAGATTTGAGATTGAGTATATGTTGATGGGTTATCTAATTCGAGGAAGGAGGGATGACAATGTTTTTGGGTATTGATCTTGTATTAATCTTGTATTGATCTTGACTCAATTCATCTCCATTATCCACTCATTTCGCTCCCTCACGCGACGAGGATGCTCCTTCGACTTCAACTCAACTTCAGCTCATTTCTTCGAATCATAAGCTAGAGATATCTGGAATTTTGAATAACTATGGGTAGGTAAGTTACATTCAGGATCCAAAGTGATTCTTGTAGTAGTGTAGTGAATGAATGTAGAGGAGCTAGGTACCTAGTACTATTTTGTATTAGTAACTAGTAGAGCTCTTGTTTTATACTCACCTGGAGACTGGAGTAGGTGTTCAATATTGAGATTATTGTTATTGAGATACTTCAATAGGTAGGTAGGTAACCATATAAGTAAGATGTTCACTTGAATGGAACTAAAGTATTCGATATTAGATGTTCATATCTATTCATATTCACATCTGAATTACACTTACATTTGTTTTCATCCTATCGTATCTTCTACTATTTTGTATTTCTCATTCTTTTAGATATAATAGTCTACACTATTCTACTTTGATCTGATTTGATTCGATCTAATTTATTCCTTCTCATAAAAAAATGTACATCACTTCCGAATAAAACAAACCTATCTATCTACACACCACACCAACCACATCATCTCTAGAGTCTTGAAATCATATCATCTTTTCATTCCTCTTTCTTCTATTTTTTCCTCATCTCAAAAATAGAAAATAGAAATTAAAATTAAAATTAAAAATTAGAATTCATAATTTCAATCTCCCCCTCTCCTCAAACCAACCCACCTCACAAACACAAACACAACTTCACATAGCAAAACAACACAATACAATTCAACCTCACAACATAACACAAGAACCCACACCCTCCCACAAAAAAAGTGAATATTAAATCGTAGTTTTCCTATTCCTAGTATATTCATAATATACACACAAATGATATGAAATTCCTGTATAAAAATTCCCTAAATCAATCACACCACGCTAAACTAGATTTCCCAAATCAAACCAAGTCAAATTCCCCAAACTAAACCAAACCAAACCACAGTATACCATACCAGACCCATCAAACCACACCAAACCAACCCCAATCTACTTTTCCGTATGACGTGATCTTATTTTATGATCTGCTTACTTGAGATGTAGTAGTGATAGTCGTACATATTCTTTCCCGAAGCTAGTAGGAGAATACTTGAAGATAGATGGGTGGATAGATGAAGAATGTCAAGATAACCTCCCCTCCTCCCACCCTAAGGCAACCCCATGAACACCTTCACCAACTTCCCATAATCCGGGGTCCCCAGCCCCGTCACCGGATCCCACCCCCTCACCGCCTCAAACCCCTCCGTCCCACACCCCGGATTCCTCCCCGTCGTAATATCATTCATCGCCCCCACATTCCCATACAACACCGGATTCACAAATCCCACCGTCCCCTTCCCCCCCGCAATCCTCTCCTCATTCACCAAATTCAGCATTGCCGCAAACGCCGGACAACTCGCACTCGTTCCAAACGCCAACGAAAACTGTCCATTGACCGCCGTCACATAATTCACTCCATTGGCACTCACATCCGGATACCCTCTTACCGCTCTCGAATTATTGAATCTGTCCGCCCCATACCCCGGCGGCGACTGCGCATAATAAGTCGCCATGACGTCTTTCTGATACTCCGGAATCGGGAAAACATTCGAGAAGCCTCCCCCGCTGAAAATAACCTTCGACGCCGCACTCTCAGGACTGTGCACCGTACTCCCATTCAGAATCTGCGTCGCCCCCACACTCGTCACATAAGGACAAGTCCCGGGAAAACTCGGATTGAACATCCCCGAAGATCCATTATTATACGCTCCCGTCTTCGAATCAATACACTGTCCCCCATTTCCCGCGACGCCAAAATCGCCCGAGGAGTACAGCACCGAGACGCCCTGAAGCCCAAGTTTCATATACTCATTACACTGACGCATTTCATATTTTGCGCCGAGATCCGCTTCGTTGGCTGAATACGAGGTTGAGATAACTTTGGTGCTTTGATAGCGTCCGCACTGGAGCTCCCCGGGGAACCCCCCGGGTTTGGGATCCGGATATTGACCATCGACGTTGGGATCTTTGGAGTCGCCGCCTTCGGCTGTGCAGTAGGAAGCATCGATTGCTTCGAGGAAATTGTTGAAACTTCCTCCCTCGACCACATCGCCGACTTGGAAGACGGTCACTTGTTGCGGGTTGATGAGCGCCATGGCGAATTCGAGATCCAGTGCACTTTCCCCGTTGAACGCGAACGATTGGTTCGTTTGTTGCACGATGGCTCCGTCGATTAAATCCACAATCGGTACTTTATTCGCTTGACTGGGTGAGAATTGGTCAAACCACATGTTTAAATCGGTTTGGAGAAATGCCTGCGGTGTGTATTCGACTACCCCCAGCGTATTATTCGTCGCGGATTTCGAACCCGGAGGAAAATTATACAGAGCTTGGAGACAGGCAGTTGTGATCATTGTATCGCAATTTTCGAGCGTCATGAGTGCATTCTTGACATCGGCTCCTTGCTTAGGATTCGACGCATCTTCCGGACTTCCCATTTTTCCAACAGGGTTCGTGTCTCCCACACCCATGCCAATTTCAGCACCCATTCCATCCCTCTTCCTCCTCTTCACCTCCTCCGCCCTCCTATTCAACACTCTCAACGGCTCCGGCAAATCCCTCTGCCGACTCACCTGCTTCCTCCCTCCTCCCCCCCCTACCCTCCCATCAAACGCCACCCCAGGCGTCACAAAATCCACATGCGCGCTCACCCCCCTCGGCACACTATACTCACCACACGCCACATGTCTCCCCCCCTCCTCATGTTCCCACACAAAATACTCCGTCCTCAACAACCCCTCCGCCTCCTCCGTCGTCGCATTAAAACTAATCCACGCCCTCCCCTTACTAACCCTCACCCTCTCCGCTGCAATCCCCGCCTCATGCAGCCACGTCCGCACAACCTCCACCGTTTCCCAAGACGGAGCAAACATATTTGCGATTTTGGATGCGCTCCAATGTTGACCGTACAGAGGGGATTCAGGATGCGAGACCTGATTTATAAATTCCTCGGCGCGGTGGAGGTTTTGTTGCGTGAGACCTATGCGGACGGGGATAACGGCTTGAGGATGGAGACGTGCGGATCTTTTCCATTTGGGAGGCGGGGAGGATCTTTTTTCATGCACCACATGCGGTTTTTCTTCCCTTCCTTGGGCTCTCGCTTTCTGTTTCCTTTCACCCTTCACCCCACCAACACTCCTCCCACTCGCTTTCGCTTCGTAAAAATTCATGCCCTCCGCCTCCCCCTTTCCATTCCCATTCCCATTCCCCCCCTCACCCCCAACTAACAACGTCGTTCCCTCCGACGAAACGGGCGATGCACAAATCGCTACCACCAGGGTAGCGAAAACACCCATCCCAATCCCAAAATGAAACCTCATTATTTCCCTTCGATGCTAAACCCAGAGCATCTGACTACAAAAAAAAAAAAAAAAAAAAAAAAAAAAAGGAACGACAAAAGAATTCACCCACAAGTATCACGACGGCACATTCATTGATTTAGCAAAATTGCATTACGCTAGTGTTTGCATTGGCTATAAATTCTGCATACTGAAACTATGGATAAATTCGATACTCAGATCGAAAGTGCATTGTTATTATAGATGCAAACCAAGTGATTAAGCTCCTGCGCACTACATGCCATATCCACAACATATAAGGCTTCCACGGGTATAAGGGGACCCTTTTGATGATAAATATGGATTCGAAGTTTTGAAGCGAAAGCTCAAGACCAATAAAAAGACAAGCAAAAGCTTAGACTTTCGAGATTGGCAAGGATTTGGTAAAAACCCACACAAAGATGGTTTCCAACATTCTCATGGGAACCATGTCTTACACGTGCAATGCACCAAATTCCCCGAGATCCAAGAGATCCAAGGTCTTGGGTGAGGCTGATGAGGGTATCTTCGTGGTCAAGATCAAACCACTGACTTGCACGGATCTAATAATGATCAAAGGACGAGCTTGCGAAATGTTACTACCAAAGATGAAATGAATGGTTGAGATAGTGGATTCCCTTCTTGTATCAACGATTCATTGTACCAATAAGCTGACGTGGTGAGTTCGAGATCAGTGGATACCAAAAGCTTGTAATAACAACACGGACTTCAAACCATTGAAAGTAATGAACTTTGAAACAATCAAGATTCAAAGTTCAAACACCACCAGTTTTTAATTCGGAATACTTCTCAAAGGTCTTCTTCTGAAGAGCACGTTGCTCATTAATAACCTTCCATAATTCCGCATTTTCTTGTCGTAACTTTTCTTCCTCGCTGGAGGACGAAGATGAATACGAAGGTGTAGCTGTAATCTGAGGTTGAGCAAAATCAAGTAATGCTTTCTCTAGCATACCCTTAGGAAATCCTTGATACTCCATGGCTTGATCAAACGTTGTTGACTTTTTGATACCATTTAATTGAGCTATGAATGCATAATTACCCTCGGCCAATTTAGGCTTGACTACGTTTGTTGATTTGGTCTTTGGTGTCTTTGGAAAAGGAGATTGCATGACAAGGTTTGTTACGGGCGCGTTCAAATCCGAAAGCTCTACCAAGAAAGCACGTCTGCCAGTATCCCAGTGTGCAATCTTTCCAGAAGAATGTCCCGAAAAAATACTTGTTCCATCGTAACTCAGCCCTAAACAATGTACAGCACCAAGATTCTCTGATGGCGGGGACCAAACCGGCGAGTTGATTTGGACTGGGGTGTTTTGCAGTCGGGTATCATACAATGGATTGATTGCTGAATTTGGTTGAATGAGCTCAATCATTTGTAATGAACCGTCTTCGAAGCCCGTATACACAGCTCGATCGCATGGGTCCAGTGCCATGCATAATGGAGTGGATGGAAGTAAGAACGTTCTTAGAAGATCACCCGTGCGGTAATTCCAAACAATTATTGAATTGTCCTTACTCGCAGATATGCATATATTTGATGTGCTGGAACTATGACCCATGACAACGGAAGTTATGGCGGCTCGATGGTTTGACAAGGTTCGGGTGGGCTCATGCGGTTCATTCGTATTTGTCTGTAATGATAAAAGCTGTGGAATTGACCAAACGTGGAGATTTGAATCTTCGGACCCCGTAATGATATTTGTTGAAGTTGAGGCCATACATGAAACCGGTTGTAGATGTGCAGCTGATGTTGAGACTTGTCTGCCTGTACAGACCTAGACCCAGAAAGAATTAACACAAATGACTCGATGCATTCGCCATCGTGTCGCCATCAATGTAGCCATGTGGTAACGGTAGCAATGCCAAACGGCACAAGACGACACGACGTAAGCTGCAGATAATCGAATGGGCGAAATAACTCACCTCCCATAGTATGACCCGCCCCTCGGCTGTACCCAGTACCAAAAGATCATCGCCGACCAAAGTCAAAGTGTGTAACCTTTCTGGAAACGAAATTAAAGCTTCTTGATTCCCGCGTTCCCTTGAATAAACATGAACAACCGCCTTATCAGCCTGTGCCGCGAAAACATGAGTTGAATTTGCCGCGAGGGCATTAACTGCGGTCGAACTTTTCTTAAAATTTGATTCGATTTTTGGGGAAGGGTGTAATGTGTGAATGTAAATGCCGATATCTTTTGCGATGGCAGTATTCGCCGTTCTTGGCTGAGCGCGAATGGATGAGATGAATTGTTCGGATAACATGATTGCCGATGGATGTCTTCTTTTCTCCTTTGATCGATTGATTGACAAGATATTTGATTAGTCGTGATTGAGATTGAGTATTCGAAATTATGAAATTATGAAATGGATCTTTTATTTTGTGTTTCGATTCTTATCGGAGACACCGGTAAATTGTGGGTATGAAGCTCTTGCTCTCGTAGATTCGTCGTGTTTTAAGATGACCTTGGGGAGATTCAAATGTAATGGATGTCTTGACCTGTCGGAATCTTTTCCACGACGCCTTTTTTGGTGAAGGGCAGGAACCAGTGGTGAGTAGTGAGTAGTGAGTAGTGAGTAGTGAGTAGTGAGTAGTGAGTAGTGAGTAGTGAGTAGGCAGTAGGCAGCAGGTAGTAGGCAGTAGGCAGTAGCTAGTATTCAGCAGTCAGTGACCAGTTGCCAATTGCCAGTTGCCAATTGCCCCTCGCCAGTTGCCAGCCAACCAGTATAGTTCAACGGAACGGGCGCCAAAATTTGGAAATTTTTGTTTTTCCTGTTACTGGCAGGCTTGTAAAATTGATCGACAAATCAAGCAGGGAAGAGATGGGACGGATGGAACCGTGTTTGATCTGTGGTGGTGTCGTAGATGCTTTAGAATTTGCGTGAAAAAGGCACGAGAATGTAAATTTGCATAATGAAGATTAAATTTGATGTTTCTGGGGTAAGAGTGTAATGAACCAATCAAAGACGAGAAGAGGATGAAAAGGCTGCAGGAGGCTACAGGAGGCTGCAGAAAGCTGCTAAAGGGTAAAAAGAGGCTGCAGAACCTGATGAATCCTAAAATAAAATCGAGATATCCGTTCAAGGACCAGGGGAGGGGGAGGTTAGGTTTCCTCAACTTTTGTTGGGATTTAATTATAATAATACAGATGACCATGCCAATGACCATGCCAATGTTGATACCTGAAAATCAATGCCAATATCAATATCAATATCTATATCGACGTCAGTTCCGATTCCGAATTCCCGCTTCGCTGGTAAACATGGGGGTGAAGGAAGATCAATGAATCAATCTGCGTATGGGTTCAAGTATTGGGTAATATGGTATTGCTATGTCATGAGGTATGCTATTGGTGTGTGCGTGGATGAAGCGATGCATATCAATCAAAGCTGACCGTCAAGGAAGATGAGAGAAAAAGAAGTAGATCTGAGGCAACAGAACCAAACCCCATGGCATCAATAGCATGAAGGAGTGAGTGAATGGATCTACTCGCCATCTTCTTCGCGTATCGTGACATTATCTGGTAGCATGAACAATCTTACTGAACCCGAAACTACTCCATTGGATGCGTTACCCAGTCATCGCCCTGGTCGCCGCCCTGGTCGCCCTGGATATTATTCCAAATTCCAATGCAACCTTGGAGACGCCCAGCATGCTCAGCCAGAATTCGAAGTTCAGCCAGATTCTGGGAAAACGATCAACATCGTCCATGCTCGGTGAATGGTAAATGCCGGATATCATCATTTGAGTCAAAAGTAACGCAACGAATACGGAAAAAAGGGCATTTCCGAATAGTTGGATAGGGCATGAGCATGAGCATGAGCATGAGCATGAGCATGAGCACCTCTTCACATCCTGGATGTCTTACCTCTTATTAGTCTGGATCTGTCAAACGATCTGTCAATTATTCCTCCCAGAGAAACTTATGAATCTCATGGGTATCATGGACCTTGTTACTCGACTCGAGTAGACTACTCTTCTCGTAGTCTAGCCAGTGACGAGTCGATGATGGCACGATGGGCCAGGTCATCGCCGTCGACTCATCAACCACGCAAGCAGCCAAACAAGCAAACCAGTATGATGTAAAAGGATTCAAGAAGCTGAGATCAAGACACCATCCATCTGTACTTTGATCACACTAAACACCAAACACCAACAAACATGGAGGAACTCATCAGTATCTAGGTACCGAATCGAGACATTTCTCGTTTCTTGATCTCGGAATTGCCTTTTTCCTTTTTCCTTTTTCCTTTTTCCCTTCCCCTTTTCTCCAATCACTCGCGCCAATGATCGCCCTTTTAGAATTTTAGGACATTTTTCGAGTTCAGGTACCGGAAGCTTAGCTGTTGGGTTGTTTGGCTGGTTGGTCCATTCTCTTCAACATGGCAGAATCTATCTTCACATCCAATTGGTGATCTATTCGAGCTTGAGGAGAGTTAAGGGTTATACTCTCACTTCTATTAATTCCATTGGCTTTTCTTCTTTCAGAATAAGAATAAAACAACATTAAGATCCTCTCACTAATTCCATTTATACATTCATTAATTTATTCATGCCCTTACCACGATTCGTTCATTGCTGACCAAAGCATCCTAAGTACATCGCTTTCATACATCGGACAACTTTAATTACCCAATATAGCAGAGGACAAGTAATAAAGTCAGTTGACGGTTGGACCCAGTCACCCAGCTCCACAGCAAGCAGAGGGCGCAGCTATCATGAATAGGGCAACAGCAGCGAATTGAGTTTTGAATATCTCCCAAAAGTTACAGCTTGGGTATGAAATTGAGGACTGATTGAGAATCCCTAGTCCATCTCATCCTCTAATTTTCGCGTCCCTGACCAATGGAATCATCATCGGGGATCCATTACACTTTCGGCTTCGGGCTTTACCTTTTTCCACAGGGCTATTGCAGTATAGCAGGGCTTGAGGAGTAAATGAGCTGTAGAAGTCAAACGAACGGAGCTTTTGTTGATCGATGCAATGTCTAGTAGCTGGTAGGAGGTAGCTGGTAGGAGGTATCTACGGAGGAGTAGCTCGTATGTAGTAGCTCGTATGTAGTAGCTAGCTGCTAGCTGCTAGTACGTGATGAATATGATGAATTTGTGATTGAATGTAATCATTAGATTGAACAGATGAACCAACGAAACAAACTAGTGAGGCTGAACTTTTTTTGATGGGTGGCCGGCGTCCTATCATGGCCCAAGTGGTTGTAACTAGCAAATCCGTTTGTTACACATGACCAGCTGGAAAAGTGTAATGAATCCACTCGAATCAATTACCTGGGCAGTGAGCAGTGAGCACCTACCTAGGTATTCGCTAGGTATAATTCTCCACTTCTTCCTTCTAAAAGACTTCTTCTTCTTCTTCTTTTCATTATTGTCACCCATGGCCAGTCGTACATCATTTACATATTATCCATGAAACATCGGTAATCATACCACGACCCAAACTCATCAAAGTCATCTTGATTCCCCAGACCGAAAGGAGCATCAAACCATCCGACCCGATCAAGCATATACCAAAGACGGAATCATGGGTAGGGGAAGGGAGAGGTTCATAGAATGAATGTTCTGTGCGTATGTGAAAAGAACAAACAACCTTCATTAAGCAAACTTAGTTTCCACTAAGCAAAAGCTTAATCGAACAATGTATGTTTACAACCATGATTACATACAATCACATACCATCACATACCATCACATACATTCCATACCATTACATACTACTATCAATAGGGCAAGTCCGTTGCGCTCGAACTCATCTCAGTAATCCTGATAAACTTTCCGATATTCTCTCGAGCGCAGCGAGAACGGGGGTTTGGGGGCTTGTCCCCATATTCATCATTATCATCATTATCATCATCATCATCATCATCTGAGATTCATTCTCAACGTGTACGTGTACGCAGTCTATGAAAAAAAAAAAAAAAAAAAGCAAGTATGATCTCCCCTTTCAACTTCCTTCCCATCTCATCCCTCAACCAATCGCAATGCTGTCCTCCCCTCACAGTCGCCTTATACTCCGGTACATATTCATGCACTTCTACCCTTATGCACACCAATAACCTTATGGATTGATCTACAATGTCCCGACCCAGGCCCTCCCCAACAAAAGTAAGCACATACTTCTGACGCATGTTGGAATGGATCTCTCTCGTTCTATTCTGCCTCATTCGGTCTAAATTATTTGTGTCTCAACTACCGGGACTTTCCTTAGCTCTTGTAAGATTATCACCAGCATTGGAACACGATCAATTCGTTCCCACTGGCCAGAGCTTCTCCCGAGGGATTTTATCCTGAACCTTTCTTAACCTTGTATGTGTACTTATTACCCCTTCACCTTCCGTGCCCCCTGGTCTAGAAAAAAATAAGATAAAAACAATGACGCCTAGAGGGAGAAAGGCATAGCCGGGTCTTTTTGTAAGTAGATGATTCCACTTTTACCCCAGTCCTGTACATAACACAGATCACGAATTTTGAATGTTGTGGTTCTGATGGCTCGACGGCTAGGTGGGTAGGTAGATGGGGGGGGGCGGTGGGGGGGTAGGTGAGATTACAAATTTAGTACTCAGTAGTTAGAAATACTAATTAGTTCATTAATAATTATGATTTATTAGTTATAATTTATTAGTTATAATTTATTAGTTATAATTTATTAGTTATAATTTATTAGTTATAATTTATTAGTTATAATTTATTAGTTATAATTTGTTAGTTATGATTTATTACTTATAAATTATTAGTTATGATCTATTAGTTATGATTTGTTAGTTATGATTTATTACTTATAAATTATTAGTTATAAATTATTAGTTATGATCTATTAGTTATGATTTATTACTTATAAATTATTAGTTATAAATTATTAGTTATGATCTATTAGTTATGATTTGTTAGTTATAATTTATTAGTTATGATCTATTAGTTATAATTTATTAGTTATGATCTATTAGTTATTATTTATTGATTATTAACTTATTAGTTATTAGTTATTATTTATTATTCATTAGTTATTATTCATTAGTTATTATCTATTATTTATCACCATCATGTATCATTCATTAACTATTTATCATTTATTAATCACGACCTACCTACCTAGGTCTATACTTATCCTCGTACATGGGTCACAAAAGAAAAAAGTGTTCTGTTTTTACTTTTGCCATGCTTTACCTCATTCTCGGGCTCCCGTCGGTGACCAAGTAGGTATACTCCGTACAATACAAATGCACCGCCATGTCAAAAAAATCATCGACAGGGAAATCCAAAGATCCATGATCTTCAGTCCCTGGTACAAATCAAATCATCCCAAGGGGGAGCTCATAAGGTTCCACATAATTTACCTTGCTTTGTTTTTCGATGATTTTCCACCCCGGGGAAGGGAACGATCATATAAACACTTCCTACATCTCGTGGTTCTCATCACATTACCATCAGACTATAATATGATATCGTTTTTCATCATCATCTTTTAATCTACACTGTGGTATACAATATACACTCCTTAGACCCTTTTCCATTGATTGAGTGATACATATTCCAATCATCGTCACTCCTTTTAAAACATCACCATGGGTTCATCAACCACACCAAACATCAGTCAAAGACAATCCCATACCTATCAAAATTCGACTTCTTCCATTCTACCCAAGGTACATGTGCTGCGCAAAACATATCAAGCACTCTCCAACCCACCCTTTGCCCACCAGGAAAATGAATACACGGAATCACGAACACTTTCTACGAGAGCTTCTCTACCGAGTTTGCACACCACCATGTTCAAGCAAGCAAATGCCACTTCGGCTCTGTTGAGACCTTCATCTGCACATACATCTAAAAGAGCAGTGTCTGGCATGAAACGACTTTTACCCCTCAGACTTGCTACTCCACCACTTTCAGAAGATTCGGAAGATTCAGATTCACACTCCGTATCAACACCTTCCAAGAGGTCAACTTTTGGACAACTCGAACGTTTGGGAGATTTATCGGATCTGGCAAATATCTCGCAACGGAGATTACACGGTACATCACTGTTAGCGATTCGTCCAGAGAAATATCGAGACACTCCCATCATTTCAACAGATGGATCGCCTTTGATCGGAAGTCCTCTGTATCAAGAGAGTGGCACCAAGTGGGATGAGATTGAATGTACTACATCTAGTATCATCGATGCGTATGAAGGATTGAGTGATTCGAGCTCAAGCAAAGGATGCGGTTGGGATGATTCAAATCATGACACACATGAAACACAAAGTGTGACATTACCACCTATGTCCCCAAGAAGACGTCATCGAGCAGATTCAGAGTTGTCTTTCAAATGTTTGGGCGAAGATAATGAAGATGCTGAAGAAGGCGAACAATCTGAATCTTCGTGGTTTGCGGGTTCGATCAAACGACGAACCGCTCCTAGACTGTCGACTTTGGATATTGAAGAATGGCTCGACGATAGTGAAAGTAGCATGTGTGAGAGTTCAGATGATGATGAATCTGATGACTTTTTTGTAGGTTATTCATTTCAATCAACATGACAAATCCTAACATTTTCTAGGCATGCGCAACAGCTCTTGCACCAGCCAAAGCACAAGTCATTCACGTGAATCATAAAAAATCTCAAAGCTTGTCTATTACTATTCCAGAAAGGACAATACCAACTGGAATCTTGAAGCATTCCGATTCATCTGCTCTTCGAAGATTAACTTCACGTTCCCCAGTCGAGA